GCCCTAAGGACAAGGACATGATCAATTCATAACGTGAAAAGGCAACAACTGCAACATCAGACATCAATCAGGAAACACCTTTTTTGCCAGGAAGGACTTGACATTGAACATATACGACATGCTAAGTCGGGCAAAAAACAAAAACAAGACAAATGAACGTTGCCGTGACCTGGCAGAGAAGACAAGTGCCTAATCACTCCCTCAGAACATCGGAATATGCCGCCAAGTCCAATCAGAATTGTCAAAAACAGAGAAGAACCCAACCAAGTTTTACCGTATTTGTGTGCACTCAAGTGAAGAGTCTTCCAGCAAAAACTCACATGAGAAAACGTGGAGAGCATGCCGCGCACGCTGCAATCGAGCACCGTCCGGATCTCCTCCACGGGCGGAAGCCGAGCCGCCTTTTCCTGCAACACCAAACACCCAGCAACCCACTCAAACACTGAAGTACAGCTCCAGAATGAGGACGCCCACAATTTTCATCAAAAGGGAACACTAAGTGTAGAATAATCGAAGTCAAACCAAAGGGACTACAGCTGAATGATCGACCAATCACCTGATGAGCTTGGACTAGCTGGAAAACATCCAACTCGCTCTTGGCATCTCCAGGCGACACAGTCTGCTATTGCCACACACACACACATTCAAAAACCAGGGATGAGAACCCAATTCCATTTCGATCAAATCGCGTTGACCCATCAGTCACTTCACATCTCTAAACACGCATACCAACACCCAGAAGCAAATGACGATTGGGAATAAAGAAAAGAACTCAAAAGGAAGGAGCTTGGGGGCAGGAGGAGGAGGAGGAGGAAGAGAAGCAGCAGAATTTGAAGCAAACGAACCTGAGTTGAAGAGGCCATGGAAAGAGGGCGAAGGGAGAAGGGGGAGGAGAGCTTGGGAGGTTTGGGAGGAGGGCAGAAGCGGAAACGAAGAGGGGAGAGAGGGAGTGGACCGCCATTCACGCGAGTATATAGGGAGAAGGAGCACGACCAGGGCGACACCAAACTCCTCATCTTCGGTTGCTTCGCGCACAATCCTACACTGCCTTCGCCCACCTCCCGGCCTCCTTATTACGACTTCCCCACCTATTTATTTGGAGCTAGAAAATGTCGCAAAATAAATGGGAGAGAGCTTTCACTCTTTCTTTCCATAATTTAGGACCTTCACTATTTCCACCTAGGACTTATTCTCCGTTTGTTTCGCGAAAAATGAATATTTTAAGAAATATTTTCCTAAAATTAATCACTCATATCGCTTAAAATAATTAGTCAATGAAAAATATTTTCATTAGTACATGATACAGGTGATCGTTTTTAGGAAAATATTTCTTGATCGTTCATTTTCCGAAAAAACATTTTCCTCATTTTTCTGCGCTTGGATTGCTTAGGAAAATTATTCAAAACGGAAAATATTTTTCTAGTCAACGAAAAAAGGTTTTCCAACCAAAGTTTAAATTCGGGAAAATGATTTCCTCTTTAAAAAATCAGAAATCGGTTTTCAAAATATAACTAGCTATGGACACTTGGACCAAAAACTCTGCGCTTGGGCATAAAAATCACAGCGCTCGTTTTCAAGCTCTTAGCAAGAGGGTTGGGTATCAAGACCAAATTTTGATGGACCCAAGACCAATGCTCATGCCTAGGGATCCGGCTTGAGACTTCAGTGCCCGTGCTACATTTCTTGGCTACCCATGGGCAAATCACTAGCGCCCGAATATTTTTGTTTATTTAGGAAAATCAAATGAGGTATTCCTTAGCAAATGACTGAAAATATTTTTCAATTCATTTTTAGGTGGTCTCGACTAAACATCGGAAAATATTGTCATTTTCCTAGAAAATGACTTCTGGAGAACATTTTTCAAAAATGTTATATTTTTCGCAAAATAAACGGAGCCTAAATTCAACCAAATTTCACCAAAATTGCTCTCAATCATTAAATTGCAATTTAATGCAGTGACTCCAAATTTATTTACTTTCTTCTTTTTTATTTATATGTAGGATTCATTTACCATAATTAAGAATTTCACATTTTTTTATTGTAGGTAACCCATGTATATTAAAGGCACTATGTCTTTTTCATTGTTAGATTTTACTTTCATAAAAGTTAGTTTTTTCGAAATGAGAAATTTCCAAGAAACTTAGTTCTTTTTAACGTTGTCGATCAAATTATGAATAAATTGTCGAGTACAATCTAGAAAAAATTTAACATAGACAATTTTTGACATAATCACTTGTTTATAAATTTTCACTTTTGTTGTGATATCGCTGTCAAGCCCCCTTCTTGTCGGAATTCTTTTATATAAATATAATGTGATGATTGGATGAAGCAAAAAAAAACTCTCTTTGAAGATTTTCCAAAATAAAATCACAGTTATGTTTCCAACATGAAACTTTAAAAGATGAAATCTAATCATATCAAAACATTGTATAAAATTGAGAATTTTTTTTTAGAAATGTCAATGAAATCTCATTATTTTTTATTGACAAAAACTAATACCATTCATAGAATGTTTGTGGAAAAATTTCAAGATGTCTCATTGTGCATAATGTTTTTAGTGTATTCCTAGATATTCTTGTAACGTCTTACATGATCTATGTAAAAGTAACTTGCTAATGGTAAGGAAAAAAGATAAATTTTTTAATATATTAAATACAGAGACTTGACATAAACTTTAGAATAATGAAATTAAAAAATTAAAAAAATGACCAAGAAAGTGAGCTTTTGAGATAAGAGGGATGAATAAATAAGTTGTTGTAAGAGCAATGATGAATAAGATACTTTTAAATTTTTTACTATATCAAAGAATTTGTCTTTTTTCCTTATTATTGGTGAGATACTTTTACACGGAGCATGTAAAACGTTATAGGAATATCTATGAATACACCATAAAATTTCTTTAATACACCAAAACAAACATGTGAAGTACTTAATTATGGCAACTCGATTCTAAATAGAAAAAAGAAGGAATGGGGCCATCGCTTTTTTTTTGGTAAATAAAAGTACACAAAATACAAATTAATGTATAAAATCCATTATCCCTACTTTATTATCTAACAAAGCATGAATCAATTCTCTAGGAGGCTCTGAGTAGAACATAGTGTCCGAGCGCTTCTTCACTCTAAGATTGGCAAGCTAATCGGCGGGACAATTTCCTTCTAGAGAGTTATGTTGTATATTAAACTCAGAATGAGAGCTTAACATTCTTCAAATGTCTTTCAGTAGAGCAGGTCCAGTGTTATCTATCATGATCTCTCTGTTGATAAGTTCAGTAATAACTTTTGAGCCCATCTAGATGCTAGGCTTGTGAAAACCATGTTTCTTGGCAAAGTTGAGTCCCAACCAGAGTGTCCAAAGTTCAGCTTGCAATGACAAACATATTCCGAGGAAAGAGGCAAAACCTCCAAGCTAGTCACCCCCTTCGTTTATGAATAATCTTCTTGTTCCTGCAAATCCGAGGTTACCTTTAGAAGCCCTATCTATATTCAGTTTAATTCATCCAATGGATGGAGGGTCCTAATTGACCATAATGGGAGAAGGATATGGTCCACGTAATTGTAAGTTGTTCACAAATGAGGCGTTAATTACTTCCTTCATGTGTGACTGAATGACCTGTGCAGGATTCGAAGGAAAGACAAAATTATCTTTAAAAAGCCACTTGTTTTACCATTACTAGAAAAGTTACTCAATCACTCCAAAAGTTATGCTTCAATCGTGACGAGAGTTTGATCGCCCTTTGGCAAAAAGATTTTCTTTGAACCATCGAGACAAATTCATTAAGAAGAATTCTTCCAAGCAATGTTGCAGGAAAATCTCAAGCCATATTCTATAAGCAATTGAACAATCCCGTAGAACATGTAAGGTTGTTTCCACATGTGACTCCCATTTCAAACAATAAAGGTTTCCTCCCAAAGTGCGAGACGTTTTCAATTCATTAGTCAACAGTCACTTATGAACGGTTAACCAAAGAAAAATTCTAATACGTTGTGGTCCTTGCCACTTCCAAATAACGGACCATATACTATCAAAGTCTTGAATATCTACCCCACTGATTAATTCGCATGCTGACTTAACAGAGAAAGTCCCGCTTCCGGTACCTTCCCACAAAAGATTATCTTATCCATCATAGGCTCAAGGTGGTTTCGACAGCCCGAGTTCAAAAGATTGTATCTTCTGGTAAAAGTCCTTAGAAGTGCACATAATTGCAAACTTTTCAATCCATCTCGGAGACATATTTTAGTAGCAACAAAGTTACAGAGTGGCTTCAAATTTGGAATCCATTTATCTATCCAAAACCGGACTTGTTTGTCATTACCCAAGCTCCACAAAGCTCCTTCCTCTAATTTCGGTCATACATTCATAATTACCTTCCATAAGGTCGAGTCACCAAGTTTAGTTTGAGTATTAGTCCCCTGTTTAGCATGTGGATAATATTTGACGATCAGAACTTGTGCCTAGAGATTATTGGGCTTCCTTATGAGCCCCTATGTTAGTTTCACTTTAAATTGAAATTGGATGGTTGGGGGTGATTTTGTGTTTTCAATGTAAATGGGGTTGATTTAGTCATATAAAGAGTGGAGATAGCGCTGCAATCCACGACATATTGTTCGATCCGTATGGTAATTACCACTCATTTTGAGCAAGCCCGTTACCGCCACACCCACCTCGGTGCTAGTTGGAAATAGAAGCCGGGGCTATTCTATGGCACGGCATGACCAACCCTACGCCGCAGGACAACAAAGACTTCTTGAGATCGAGGACCTAGGCGTCCGAACCCGACGTCTACTTCCTATCACGGCATGAAACTGCAATGGTCATAGATTCTGCTGTGACAATATGTAAACATGCTCTGTCTTGACTGGATCCTGGACCGGACGCCCCATGTGCCCGCTCGAAAACTTCAAATTTATGCATGAGCTTTTCTGTCGTGGGCGAGCCCGGGCAATAACTTGGCCCGACCCAAAACCCGACCCGACCCGACCCGACCCTGCCTCCGTCTTCCCTCCGCCACTGAAAAGGCAGACGGTGCAGAACGATAACGGAGACCGAAATCCGGAATCTCCTCCGATGCATGAAGAATAATGCAGGCGCACCATTTCGTGGGACCCGTCCCGATCCTCCCGTCGCGGTCCCACGCCGCCCAGAGCTCTACCATAACCCACCACCTTCACCGCCGCCGGTGGCGGCCGATATCGTCCTCGTCCTCGTCCTCGTCGCCGTCGTCGTGGCCGGCGATCGACGGCGGCGGCGAGCAGAACCACTACGACGTGCTGGGCCTCACCCCCCACGCGACCTCCGGCGACATCAAGAGGGCTTATCGCCTTCTAGCTCGCAAGGTATTCCCCGGCGAACGCTCCCTCATCTCGCATCTCGCGAAGTTCTGTCTTTTTCTTCTTCTTCTTTTTCACTGTTCCGGTATGGTGGAAGCTGATGTGTGCTCGAATCAGTGGCGATTGGTTTCTTAAAAAGAGCGATGATTGATTGATTGATTGGGTTCCGACAAGCTGGCTGATACCCAATTTCGGATTTGCTTCTTTTGTCATGGTGATGAGTTGAAGAAAAAAAAATTTCATGAAGAAATGTCAGGAACATGTTGGTGGATCTGCTCGTTTTTGTGCTGTACGAGGAGGTTGGGAGTTATGATGATTTTGTGCGAGCTTTGTGCGTCTGTGCTGTCGTTGTGAAAATGGAGCGATTGAAGCTTTCCAACTTGAGAGCCCCCAAAAATTCGTGCTTCTTCACGGTGCCTTTAGAAGGAGAAAAGTTTTGCATGGATCAGTTCTTTGATGGATGTGGTGGAGCTTAATGATCAGATTTTAAGGAGGCAACTTGAGCGTTATGGGGAAATAGATTGGTGTTCAAAGTAATAAGGCAACTCCTAATCGGTTGCTGCGAGTATTTGAGCCAACCCAATGATAAACTCTGGGTTTGTGATGAGGAAAGGACGCAACGCCTTGCGATCTCATGCATCCTTATGTTCATAAGGAGTTTTTTAAGGCTCACAAGTTCACAACGCGACATGGTGTCGTGTTTGTAACGTCACTCGTCTAAAAGAAAGATCTGGGGAAAGATCAACTTTGAGCTAAATTTAATATGCCCACTAAATCACAGAGTTTTCTGATTCAAATGACTTTCCATTTGTTTGGTTATTGTATCTTTCATCACTTGTTCAAACTTACCATTTCCTTAGGCTGACCGTGCTCCAATGAAACCAGTCTTTTTCTGTCAATCTCCTATTAATTACGAGGACTAGGAGTACTAGCTGTGGCCTGCCCTTGAACTCTTAAATTTGATACTCTTCACGAGTCTTTCTTTGGACATGTATTTACCCTTCCTTGCCTTTTTGTGATTGCATCTCTTGATCACAGTATCATCCTGATGTTAGCAAAGATCTGCAAGCTGGCGAGGTTTTCAAGACCATCCGCCGTGCATATGAAGTGAGTATACTTATGTCCTGTAATATCTATTTCCTGACTCATGTAAGATGAATTTCATTATGGAGTTTAGTACTTAAAGGTTCGATAATTATTAGAATGACCCATGGAAAAAATTTCGGCAGAGAATTGGTTATATAGCAACTGTTTTGTCCATTAACTCATTGATCTTTGGAACCATAACATTATGATTGAAAGTGGCCACCAATCTTATTCTCTTAGTAATGACATTTTAGTGAAAAACAAAATGGTACCAGGTAGGACAATTTCTGTCTTGAAGCCATTTTATTCCCTGTGAGAGTACTTTATGCTTTCATATATTCTATCCAGAAACATGGTTGTGCCTTAAAAGTTTTCCTCCATTTTCAAATAGGTATTATCGAATGAAGCCGCAAGAACTCATTATGACAAGGCACTCAAATTCCAGGAAGACACTGGCAGACAATACAAAGGTAAATGGTATTATAACCCTGAATATGAAGATGGGGTTCGGATCTACAGGTGGGCTGAACTGAGGCGGAAGATGCAACATGAAATGTACAGAGAAAGATATAAAGCCGACAAAGACGAATCTTCTTTTTACGGTGAAACAGAAGAAGTCAGAAGGGAGCACTTTGGCCAAGAGAGGGGTGCCTTCACGGAAGTACTTAGATCTGCCTTCCTGCTATTATTTTTCATGCGGACACTTGGCTGTCGGATATCCCTTACCTTTAGCAGCTTTACGGCATTACTTGACAGGAAACTAGATGCAGGGTACAAGATTGGTTATGTAATTGCCTGGATTTTGGGTGGGAGAGGCGGCATTTTACTGACTTTATGCCTCTCTTTTGCTAGTTGGGTTTGTGGGAAAAGCAGCAGTAATGTAGTTGTTCTTGTGGTGGTTGCTATGTGGGTTGGCTCCAATCTTGCGAGGTATGCACCACTTCCTCAAGGCGCTCTTCTAACGCTGCTGTACATGTCTATTAAGCTACAAGTTGATCTGAATTAGACTTGTTGCTTGTTGTCTCTAATTAATATTACTACCGTGCTGTACAGATGTATTTTTTTAGAGGGTTTATGTTCAGACAATACTTTGTGCTGCTAAGCCTGTACCAGAGACTGGTTGAAATCATCCCAAAGCTGCAATTTCAACCCATGTTTCTGAATTATGAAATCCAGCTCCATTGTCAATATACTTTACAACTGATGTTGTTTGTCCAAATCATTGGGTTAATGGCTGCTTTAGTTGACTGTCCTTTGATACCGTTAAGGATGTTCAATGCTCGTTGGGAATCGACTAGTCTTTCACTTGGTGCGGCTGTCTCCCGTCACAAACACGTGGGGTAATTGTCAGAGCATACAGGTTGCCGAAGCAAAGCATATCATGGAGAGCAAGATGGCTTTGAACCTTGAAGAGACTACTCCGGTAAGAGAATGTAGGTGCCAATTTTGTGTACAATGCGCTCCAGGATTTTAAGTTCAGTATTTACTCGCCTTCAGTATGTCACCATTGCTACTTCCATGGGATCTATGCTACTACAAGAGGAGAGTTACTCGAGAAATCTTTGGTTGTGCTGCTAAAATATCACTTTGTGAATGTAAGGTGGAGCCTGTCATTGTGGCTAGAGTGGCGAAGTTTGTCACCACGCTCCCTTTAACGAATCCAAGAACCCATCTTCCCAGGATACATTACTCGCTGTGGATCTGAGTGCAGGCTGTCTGACCTAAAGGTATTGGCATTCTTGGTTAGACCCACAGAGATATATTGGCATTCTTGGTTAGACCCACAGAGATATATATCAAGGGAGACTCTAGTAGGCTCTAAATGATTGCAAGGATTACAAACATCGAGCATATAAAATTAACTTTAGACAAATTTGAAAAACACAATCCGTCGTTTTTACATTAAACTCATCAAAAGGCTACTGGACGGCTCGGAAACAATTTGCATCTGCTTGGGTTTCTATCTTGTGTCGTGATGGTGCAATTAATCTATATACCCTTTTCATTTGCGAATATCTGCTATTGCAAAATCGACTACGAAACTCCTTTCTACACGCTGCCATAAAACAACACTGCTAAAGGTCAAGCAAGAAAAAAGAAACTTCATACATGTAAGGAGAGCCATGGCATAATCGCAAGAATCCAACTTAATGATTTCTGTTGATGGCAATACCAGGTTCTCTAACAAACTACAGGTGTGTAAGCCGTCATTAATTATTTCATCTTCCAAAGACGTGCTTCTTGGTTTTCCTAAGGTATTCTGATATGGGACTGTCTGCATCATGCAGCTTCCATCTTCAGTTTTTTTCTTTACCCGGCCAAACCATTCATCGCAGAATAATACAGCAACAACACGAACAAATCGCAAAATCTTAGTCAAGTTCCGAGCCTAATAAACATAACAATAGTCACCACAATTTTCTGGATAGGCTGCTTGTTCACTAAAAGCAACGAGAGCATTACAAAGAAGATTGGCAAAGCTTGATCCGCTGTATGCATGAATGACAACTCGAAATGAGAAGAGCACGGGTAATTCGAGGAGAAGACAGCCTAAAATCTCCCTCTGCCCCTGAAACCACCACCACGACCACCCCTAGGGCCGCCTCTCCCACCCCTTGGGGCACCCCGTCCACGAAAACTACCACCTCCACGGCCACCGCCTCTACCGCCTCCTCTGCCTCCACCACGGCCTCCACCTCTACCACCAGCTTGCTGTCCCCTGCAGGTGGTAAACATACAAAGGGACACGTAAGTTGTAAATAAGTCCATAATCCGTGATCACGAGCAACCACGTTCACTGTAAGCTATTCAATATCTATAAGAGTATCTATAGAAATCAGATGCAACAGATCACAAATAAAATTGGACAAGGACTGGATTAGCTATTAAGAGGTCTAATTGATAGTACAGTTCATAAATCACTTCAAACATTTCCATGCAAAAATTTCAGATTTGGCAGAAGAAGAATAAAGTGATCAGATTGCTCTAACTCAGGTGAACACATAAAATAGTGGATCCAACGACAAATTCAATTGGGACAATAGCATCCTACACTCCTGTAACTTCTGCAAGCTAAAACTATATATGTATGTCAAGAGAGTGCCCTCAAGGTACTCGTTTAGCATTATTTAATGTAGCATTTATATTTTCCAGACACTGAAACAAAATTGAGTACAACAATTTGACAATTCAAGAGGAATGAAACATATAAAACTATCTTTTTAGATTTCCAAAGCACATTAGATGATGGACGGAAGAGAGAGAGGCACACGTACTTTGGCTGCGGAAGGAATCTTGCAAGGGGCAAGAGCTTAGCCGGGTCAATGTAGAACTTATCACCCTGTCCGTATGAAGTAGCAACAATACCTTCCATCATCTTGATAGAGAAGAACTGCCATTGATACCAACACGTCAATCACGTCGTAAATGAACACGCCTGAGCAGAGGGAGCAACTCACTCGTCTCAAAGAAGACTTACAGATTCGTTGATGGGACCAAATATCTCATCGACTTTGCCAATTTGAGTCTTGTTCTGCAAATAGATTGGAGCATTGAAGTAGGGGATTTTCTCATTGGTAAGCTTGGTGACCGCGTCGCCCTCGCACGCGTGGAGAAACGACGAAACCTCTGCAAGATAACGGAAGACAGAGCAACCATTTAACGCTTAGTACACTTCCTCAACCAACATTCATCCATAAAATTCACCCATTTCTGAAAAGTGGCTCTTCTAAGTTACATTCACGCTGCCAATACAGAGAAGCTGAAATGCACCAATCTTAGCTTGCTCCGACATCGGTGAACAAGTCAATGACGAAGCCAACTCAACCATCAAGTTCGCACATTATAGAAATAAGCGTAATCCTACAGTCACTTGACATTGAACCCGCTTAAATTGCTAGATAACAAAATGTCACTTAAATGACCCTTCAACCACCATATACACTGTCGTCAAACATTAGCCACCCAAACAGATACAGAAGACAAATACATCGTAATCAACAGGGAAAAACGCGAACTTTCACGGATTCGCACCCTGTAGCTCATCAACGAAGACAGAGCTCGCGCCATTTCTATCTAAAAACCGGTCTCTTCTAGCAAACAGAACGTAAAGGCACGGACCAGAAAGGACGTGAAGCAAACGCACCTACGACTTCACTCGGCGGCCCCTCGTCGCGAAACCCGCCGCCGCCGCCGAAGCGCCCCCGCCGCCGCCCCCGCCTCGGCCGCCGAAGCGCCCGCCGCCCCCCTCCCGCGGCCGCCGTCCCTGCCGCCCCTGAACCCGCCGCCGCCGCCCCGCGGAGGTCGCATCGTTCGCCCGCTGACGAAGCTGTGGAGAGAGAGAGAGAGAGAGAGAGGGCCTGAAGCTTGAAGCTTTGTCGAAGGGAGGAGGAGGCAGCTGAAGAGGGTGACTGGCGAAGCGAAAGCAAGGAGAGGGAGGGTTTAGGGTTTTAACCAGTTCCTGTTAATTTATTCGTTGCGCCATCCCGTCCCCGCGAAATGACCAAAACGACCCTGCCCCTTCTTCGAAATGCCCTTCGTCTCTATTTTGAGATTAAATAAAATATATACACCCGCAATTTGTCTCGAATGTATTGAAAATGCTGAGAAAGGAAAAGGGGATTTAAAATGATAAAAGCTCTTCTATTGGAATTATTGGCTCGTGCATAAATCGTCCTTGATTTACAAAGAAAAAAACAACAAAATAGTCGCGGTTTTTTTATGTACATACAGAGAGTTTATGTCTTAATTAAGAAATTTTATGCTTCATCGGGCATCGAAATCGACTCGTGTCCAGCGATCCGTCGCGCTGCGTATTTCTTCATTTGAGAGATTTTTCGTTGTGATCCAGAAATCAAAGCAACACGAGATGGGTTTTATATGTTGGGTTAGGCTACAAGCAGGCATTTGACATTTTACTAGCAATGCATGGTTTCATTTAGGAAGTCCTAGTTACTAGGGATGAGCTTTGAGCTTCTTCCATCTGTTTTAAAGGGAATCAACTCGTACCAGAACACCTAACCCGATGTCTTTTACGGCAATGTTCTTGCCAAAACCTGGTCCTTAACCACATAGATGACCGCAGTCGAGCCGCATCCGGTGATCGCTCAAGTCGACATGCCGAGTCACGGCAACTAAACCTGCTGCTAGTAAAACCAGGTCTGAGATCTTAACGTCCAGTTCTGGTACTAAACCAAAGTTCTGACTTCTGAGATCCTAATGTCCAGTTCCGCAAGACAAATCACAGGGGACACTGGAAAAACCACCTAATATTCAAACCTTTCACCGACGCCCATCGACGGAAACTCCCAGATATGATTGCCGATCTATAAAACTATCTCATACTTCCAAGGCCCCGAGTTGTCAATTCGCTTCATATCTGGCGCCACAAATTAACCGTCGACCAGTTTTTACCGGTAGAGACTCAGATAGAACCTCCGTTGTTATTAGGACTAATTATGACAACAGAAGCAGACGTACAGGACACCCGACAAGCAATGCTACCTTTGCAAATTCAGACTTTTGATGCCCTCCAAATAAGAGGGTTGATAGGTAGCTATTCGCGCCCATCAAATAGTTTACAACAGTGTTGCTAATAAATGGTTGCACGTTCATACAACAATTCGGTGTTATGAACTCCAAGTCCGCCTGCAAATTGCAGGGTGCTACAAACAAACCATCTTTCATGATCTCTACGTACCCTATCAATCAGATCGGTTCAGGGTACATTGCCTTTTCAACTCACACTTATAACTGCTATCTTGGCTCGCTTTTTCGCCTTTACATTCGCCTGTGAGAATTTTTTTGCGGGAGGCCTTGCCTTTCTTGAGTTGCTGGAAAATCAAATTTTGTAAAAGCCGTCTCACCTTTGAAAATTTCCGGCCAAAACACTCTCCCGGTACAGTAATAAAGCAAGACCGAATCAACAAACAGTCCGGCCATAACAAATTGATGCAATGTAGAGATTTTTAGACCATTTTTCCTGCCAGAAACAAAATGCATCCACATTAGATTTCCGTGAACACGTACAAAAGAGAATAATAGCACGATAGCTCAAGCAAGTGCATCCATAACAGTGAGCAATCATGTCCAGTTAATGGATTTGGACATTTGGAAGTAAGATAAATTAAAGGAGTAAATAAAAGAATAGTACGCATGTACAAACCAGCCTATGTGAAATAAATTAAAGGTCCAATGACACCAATATATCATTAGATTGGAAGCAATAAGGAACAGTTGAAGATAATCACACCAAAGCACATGATGAATTGCAAGAAGAATGGACCTAACCTTCACATGTGTGCTTGGGAAGGCAGATGTTCGCAGGGTTTCTTGAGTTTCATCCATCACTTTTCTTTTAGGTATGCTCAGTATGAATGCTGCTTGATCAGCAGTGGCAGCCATAGATGTTATTCTATAGCCGCTCTCCCATCTTCGGTGTATACCTTCACTTGGGTATAGAAAATCAAGCTCCACAACCTTGCATAAGTAAATAAAAAGTTCCATGAGAAAACAAAAAGGGCATTTTGAAAACAGGACTATGAAAGTACTTGCCCCATTCTCAGATGTTAATGCCCACATTTCCAACAATTTTAAATTACATGAACTACTTCTCTAAAAAGAATAGGAGAAACTGATACCTGGTCAGAAAATCCAGAATTTCTAGACATTACCACACCCCAGCGACTGCCCGCCGTAGTCATGGAAGTGACGTGAAAACCTTCTTTCCACTTCTTATTTATCCACTTGAAAGGAAAGGCTTCACTCACTTTGTAGGACTGCTGGGTATATGGGGTTCCTGCAGATTATGGAAAATATCAGCAAGAAAACCTTCCGTGCCAATCCTTCATCATCAAGAATAATGGAAAGAAACTAATTGAACACCTCACAGCATGAAAATGAATCAATCAGATGAACATAAAGGAGTGTCAAGAGGTTGATTTGCCACATGCAATGTGCACAGTCACATTCTGTGGACCGAACAATGTGATCCAAGTCAAGGCGCCAAAGCAGATGGCCGGAAAAACATTAAAAAAATGGCAAGAATTGGTACACAACGAAATGAATGTGACGAAATTCACGGAAGTGGTGAAGTTCAACAGATGTAGGGGCCCATGCAATTGACCCATTCAGTTGCAAGTGAGCTTATTGAGGAGATCTAAGTCATTACATGAAAGCACTGTATACAAAGAAAGCAACAAACGCTAAAGAATTCAAATGAAGAAATATCCAGCTTGCCTGATACTGATGATCAGAAGGTGGATGAACCAGGAGAGGGAATACACGCTTGCCGACAGCAATTTCAGCACAGAATACAGATGAAACATCCATGTGAAGTGCGTAAAGTTCATGAACTTCAAGTACATAGGATGATGTTAAACTTATAAAGAAGCGCATCTTGTGTTATACCAGAGGCTAATATCTAATTCAAGAGAGGACTCGTTAAAGGAGTCAACTAAAATCTACAGAAAAAGAACGGATGAATTGACAGATCTAATACATTCTGAATACTAGACTGTGCAGAGAACAGAATGCACATTAACTGACATTCGCATAGTTCACATAGAAGATTGTTGCTAGATAGCAATCCATAAAACAATACACGAGTTCTGAAAAATATATAAGAGTGAAATAGAATGTTAATCAGAATATAAAAAGACAACATCAAATGTTAAATTCTGCCAATCATTTATTTAACCTTGCAAACTTGCTGCTTTCATTCTGTCTAGAGATTACTCATTATTATACGATTTAAATACAAGCCTTTTCAAGCTCAAACATGAAGGACTTTATTCTTTTCCAAGTGCCATAATTGTATGTGCTGCAATAAAAGATCATCTGACTAAAAATCATTCTTCACGCTTCTACAGCTTTAATCATTCATGCTGCTAATCCAGTGATCTGCTAACTTCAGTTGTTAATTGATTTTCTCTTACTCATTATTTTCACTGATCAATACTTCGATTTTAAATATATAGTACAGGTTTTACTCACCTTTGGACATGACAACCAAGGAACTCCCATTAGATGCACCAGCTATTGAACTGATATAGTAGTTTCTTTCCCATTGTTCCATGATCCAATCCTTCAAGGAAGATCATATGGACAAGGTAAGAAATGACGTAATTCAACAAAGACCACTCCAAAATAATGAAAATCACTTGACAAGAAGTACCTTATGCAGAAAAACAGCAGACAACTCATAAACCTGCGAAGAGAAACCAGTTCCTGCATCCATGATTAAAGCCCACAAATTTGATGAAGAGGCCACACAGCTGATAAATAGCCCATCTTCATTTCCCTTCTCTACATGCTGGGTTAACCTTGAATCTGCTACATTGTAATGATATCTGCAGTTCAAAGAACCTAATTAGCATATACTATGCAAAAAAACATTACAATGGTTGCTAGAAAGCTAATATAGATGATCACAGAGATATTATCCGAATAAAAGTTGGAGTAAATAGGCTTTTAACCATTCCTGGCTGAGTACTAGTCCAATTTCCAAGCAAAAATTACCGGTGGCGCAAATTGCTAGTATGGTCAAATTTAGGTAAAATCGGTACATGTTACATGAGCAAAAAGGTAAACACTATGCTATTCCCCATATCAAACAATCAAGAGTCTGATTTATAACAACTCGTCATCCATCCTTTGAATGGCATGTGAAAACATCAAACTTGAGGCCAGACACCCGAGCAAATACTCGAATAACAAAGGAATCAACAGCACAAATACCAGTCTTACATTACATTTAACATTCTACCCAAGGTTCCTGACACAGACCTCAAATACCATTTAAATACAAGATATGGAAGAATGAAGTAGAGCTAACCAAACTTTTGAGGAAGTCACCTAGAGAGAACATTTAGTAGCATGGGATAGAAGCATATCAAGAAAATGCTCACAAGACAATTTTATGAGCATCATAGCACAGCCAATGAATTTTGTTACTCCACATGTCATTAGACTTATAGTGTATAATTGCTCGGACGTTTCAGCACGTGTCAAACAGATTCCCGACACGAAACCTCAGGCACAATTTTAATGCAAGATATCGAAGAATAAAGTACACTAAAAGAACTTTTTAGAAAGATACCTAAAGAACACATTTAGACGCATACAATACACGCGTATCACAGAAAATGATCGCATTTATAGTTAAGAATGGTTTATAAGCATCATAATAGAACAGATGGATATAGTTAATCAATGTATTGTCAGAATAAATAGAGAGTATAAATGCCAAGACTTTTTGGCAGGTCATTTATAGTCACTAAAAAAATTAATCAAGCTATCACTTTCAGGTGTAAGAAATTAATACAATTCTTTCCATTGACCACTTCAATGTTACGTTTACGTCAGATTTTTCATATGTTCACGTGCATAATTGTCTGCAATTGAGTTAAAAGATAAGTACTTAAACATCTTGAACATGCAGAAATAGACAATAGTCACAGCTCAGTCTCACAGATCAAACCAAGCGATATTGAAAGGCAGAATCTTTTATCAGTAAGTCCTAATTGAGGTTTAACTTTAGGAAGAGTGATTACCTCTGTTTCATGGGCCGACGTGCATTATAAACTGAAATCCACTGAGTAGCCGGACTACCCAATCGAACCTTCTTCTTTGGCTGCTCATCTTCTTCCAAATTAATGAGTAGTCTGCCTCGCTTTTGACCGACCTATCCAAACATGACAGAAAGATTCATTTATTGTCAGGCTGTTCTGATGATGCTAGTTACAAGTAAATCTAGCTTTCCACATATCTCTGTCAGTCACAGGCTAAGAGTGATGGTCTTGTAATTTGTAAGTAGTCTAATCTTCCATTCAAATCGAGAAGAGGAAGAAGACTGAACTACCTTTAGAGCTCCATCAATTCTGATTGGTCTCAAAGATGTGCATGGCTCAATTAGGCTTTCAAAAAAAGATATCAGCTTTGAGTAATTTGGCTCCTCGTCAAATTTCATGTTTGTTACAGCTTCAAGAAATTGCTTGAACGGGGCGGGGCAAAAGCAGCACATTAACTCTGGAGAAGTAGCCATCTTTTTCTTACAGACAAGAAAGCTCTTGTTGTCCCCCTGCAACAGAAAAATAGTCATTTCACGATATATAACCATAAAAGACATCTCCACACCCCACTCAAACAACTCAATCAATGCACCTGATATCCCTGCCATGGTAACCTTCCTTTTAAAAGGAAAATCAATGTGTACGCCAATGACTCAAGATCGTCTCGTCGACTTCCGGTCCGTCCTAAATGAGCATGCACACTGGCGTATCTTATTGTTCCCCTGCCAAAAGGAGAGATTCAATAAGCAGGGAACCAACAAAATCATGGAAATATTTAAAAACCCACCAACCTGAATACATCAGGTCTTTGATCATAATCGACGTGTTGACCAGATGTCGAATCTTTCCACCTAGACGCTGTAAAAAAAAAAAAAAAGACATTTTGTCAGCCGGGCCAGGGAAGTTAAGATTCCCCATTAAGAGGTTCCGATATACAGGTACTGTCGGGGGAGCACTTACAACATTATTAATACCATAAATGGAAGGCTGCTAAATTCAAAAGACCAAAACCTTAGCACACACTTTTATTTCTTTGTTGGGGAAGGAGGGGGGCGGGTTACAATCCATAAAGACAAACCCTAGAACGCATTGTGCCACCTGCATGTGTGTGGGAAGCAGCATGCAGAAACAAATAATCCAGGAAAATGAACACACCTAAGCCAAGATCAATGAGGTAAAGCTTCTTCTCATCAGCCGACCCAGGTTGACCAAGCAGAAAATTCTCTGGTTTGACATCTCCATGCACAAAGCTAGCAGAAGAAGGAACATGTTAACAAAAGCAGTTAATTGCAATTATGAAGTCCTTTCATAAGGCAGAAAGTTCAAAAATTATAATAATAAAAATAGGTACCCCTTCAAGTGAAGCTTTTCCAGGATTGATATTGCCTCCACTGCAAAACAAGCCACCATGTTCGGCGACATTCTATTCCCAGATGTTATCATGCATTTATCACAGAAAAAATCATCAGCAACTAAATAGAGATGGGGTAGCAAGTGAAACACAGTGTAAGAAAAGTTTAATAAATATGGATCTTACGATTGCCCTAGAGAGTTCCAGACGTCCCAAAGACTGGGCCCAAGCATATCCATAACCTGAAATATATATTACTTATAACTTAGTTTCCCTCAAAGAGAGAAACCTGAGTGACGAGAAACGGCAAAATCAAATCTTACCAGAATGTAGAAATCCCCCTGTCGACCCTTATAATGAACCCAAGGGATTCCATAGCATCCATTTAGAGTACTTTCCATGTCAAAATGTAAATAAAATCAGATGTTAAATCAAAGATTCATAATATCCGCTCTCTCGAGGGAAATAAGACAAAAAAGAATCAATGCGATACATACTTGTACACTTGCCACTCGTAAGGAGGACCATAGTTGCAACCTTTGCTGTTACGATGCTCAAACTTCAATGCAACCTGAAATGAATGAACCCCAAAGCATAAAAAATCTGATGTCTCCAAGACATAACCAAAAATCATTAAAAAATAAAATAAAATAGAGTGAGACTGCACTTGGTGCCATGCCATACCTCTATTGCATCTGGTCCTGTTCTATCACTTCCACCACTTACCCTTCTGCCAACGTACACTTGACCAAAGCCACCTTTTCCCAATTTCCTTTCTGTCTTATATACAGGAGAGGTACCCACTTGTACCTGCATCAGATGAGAGCAGACTATAGCATTAAGATTCCTCGGGATAAAATGACAGCGAAAAGAAAAAACCACTCGCAGGACTTCACTTGATAAGTTGAGAACAATGCTTAATAAACTTTAACATCAACAAAATTATTGAAAGCTAATTATTCAAAAGGAAAGTACTAAAGCATAAGCAAGATACGAGAACTTTGGAATCAGCAATTTCCTAAAAAAGCTCACGCAACAAAAGAATAATTATGAATATTGATTGCCAAAATAGAACCCTCAGTCTCAGCCCCTATGTTAATCATAGACGAAGGTAACCTGTAGACTGGAGTAGACCATCAACGCCAAAGAAGACGGATGAAAGATGAGTAGCTCCAAGTTTAATCGACAAAAACAGGTACAGGGAGAAGAGAAGCTACCCTCTCAGGAACAGGTGTTGTGCTAGCTTCTTCCTCGACTCCCAACACTTTCTCTGCACTTCCTCCTTCCATTGCAATATCTTTCTCTCCGACAACCTCAACTCGATTAAAAGCAGGGTCAGCAGCAGCAGCTCCTAAAGCTGCAACTTCAGGAACCACTTCGCAAGGTTCCGGGTCTAAATCTATAACCCTTATTCCCCGACCTCGACCAGCACCTGTTGCCCTCCCTCTCCCTACAGCTGTCGCATTACCCCTTCCTCTTCCACCACCTCCTCTCCTCCTAGTTTTGTTTTGTGTAGGCAGTGCCCAATTATCCGCTTGATCAATTTGTTGCGGGTTTGGTTGTATATTGTCAAGCCTCTTTGATCTCCGTGCTCCACTTCGCAACTCAGGCATCGTCACCCCATGCAAATCACATTCCCCTGAGTTCACCAACTAACCCTTCAGGCCTTCTGAAACCCCAAGGATAGAAGTCAATCGTCACAAAAATCCACGATCAAGAGAAAGCTAAAGAGAACCAACAGCAAGAAATGCATATCACCGGGAATACCACAAACAATCTACCCTTTTTCTGCTCACACGAAGTACAGGTCATTTCAATTTTAAGCAATGATAAGGCTTTTCCGTACATACTGAATAAGGTACAAAAAAAGAACCCCTGAGAAGATTTGCCAGGTTGCTAGAATACTCAAGATGCTCAGAAGTGGAACGAAATTGATAACGGGCATGCACCAAAAAGGCAATATCGACAAGATGGAATTTTTCGGTCAATACACCTAGACGATCTCATTATCTGAGACAACCCATTTGACAAACAACAAATGCTATCTATCACTTGCACATTGCAGATGCCTCCTCACCCCTAATACCGAATTAGCACCACCCAGATGAACCACTCTCCGCCTTCGAGCCATCATCGGGCGTCGAACACGACGATTTTCGCATCGGATTCAGCCAAAGCAAGATGATCTTTTTTCGTGCTCAATGTCGAATCGAATCATCATCATCGACCAACCAGCTCAAAACAGTCCGATCATTCAAAAGCAAAAAGAAAAAAAAAAAAAATCAAAGCAACAACAAAACCGATCACCTAACAAGCTCAAACCCGATGACACCACCACCACCACCACCACCATCATCCATCCATCCACAAAACAAGAAAACAGCCACAAGTTCAAAAATTTCAACGGACCCAAGACCCGGAAAAGACCCGACTCACAGATCGATCCTCGGGAACCGCGAAAGCAAGACGATCGGGCACCGGGACCGGCGAGAATCGGCGCATTCGGACCGCCGATCGAGCTCAGATCTTTCCCACCTCCTCCTCCTCCCCCCCTTCTGGTCTCTGATGTTCACACTATCCACACCCACGTACGTACATGAGAAGACTGCATTATTATCTTGCCCCTCCCCACCCCAACCCCCTTGTCCGAAAAAAAAAAACAAAAAAATCGGGCGGAAAAAAAAAAAAAGAAGAAAAAAATAAACTTTTCTTGCGTTGGCGATAAAGCTAGCGAAAGCTTCGCTAGAGAAGAGAGAGAGAGAGAGAGAGAGAGAGGAGGGATGATGATGGGGGAAGAAGCACACTATATATGCAGATAATATGGAGAGAGAGAGAGAGAGAGAGAGAGAGAGAGATTTTTAAAGCTGATATTTATTTTTGATCGGTGGAGACATTTGAAAAATGGGTTTAATTTCTCTTTTCCCCGATTTTCCCGATTTTTTTAATTTCCGAAAGTGGGGGGGGAGAAAAGGAAATATTTTTATCCCTAACCCTCGTCCTTCTTGGAATTAAAAAAAAAATTTCGAAAAATAAAAGAATGTGATGATTGTGGGATTTGTGTTTGTGTTTGTGTTTGTGTTTGTGTTTGTGTCTTCTGGTTCTCTTCTTCCTCTTCCTCCCTGCGCGTGTGTGATTCTCTCAAGGTCTTTATCTGCCTTTGTGGGTGGGATGTGAATGCGGAAGAAGACGTATGGGCATTTTGGCTAAAGTTGTGGCATTGTGATGACCGTGAAGCATTTTCCAACTTCTTTTTAACACGGTCTTTATTTTATACCGTGCAATATTATATCATATTTAAATGTATTCTTTTTTCTCACGCTTCGTGTGTTTTTTTTTTTTTTTGGCGGTGAATAATAATGTCCTGTCTAGGGTTTCCAAGAACTTGAGCTTCGAGTGCCGAGGTGGTGACGGGGGGGTGGTCAACAAAAGCTTGCCCCCGGGGGCTTAGATGGATGAAGACGAGCCAGCCACGCTAGCTTTTTGGGGGGGAGAGAGCCGCCCCGAGACGGGGTCTCGTGTCGATGGCCACGGTCGAATTTTGTGGCGACGGCGAAGTCTCGTAGGCATCGATGGATTCGACGGCGGAGGAATTACGGAACCCCCGCGAGAAAGATCGATTTTTCACGTTTCGACCTGGACGCGGGGCGCGAACGAGAAGCGCGGAGATTTCCGTTATGATCGAGTAACGCGTCGATGTGCTGAGGGGAAGGGGATAACGATGCACCGTGATCGCGAGTTATTTACGGTGCGTTCGTTTCCGATCGACGTGGAGAGCTACGTTTTGGCACACGTGTGTCGATGATCGATTCCTCCGATAGCGATTATGACCGATCCGATAGCCTATTCTGCCATGCAATGTGCTCAAAGGGTACCTGCTGATATGTGTATACGAAAGGTAAAACATGACTCTGATGATCGTATTTGTAGGTACAATTTAATTTCTTTCTAAATCAGTGTGTGAAAGTGATCAATACATCTTCAATGATAAAAAGGGTCATGCATGCATATTAAATAGGATAACAACAAAAATAAGATTTGACGTTATAACCGTCGATCAATTGAGAGCTCGATGATTTTGAAAATGCGACAATCAGGTCTCAAATTCGCCGTCGACGGAATTCGGCTATCGGGAATCACACGCGGCAAATGACCAAATATTCCACCCAGGGAGCCGCGTCGAATGTCCGACATCTAAATTCCACTGACGGCGAGGTCAAGACTAGATCGATGCCTTTTAAGCTCTCCATTTGATCATCAACCAAAATCTCTAATCATGTTTTCTGCATTTATCCCTGTATTATTAAATGGTGCTTACTAGGAGATTTTTTTCCTACCAAGAGAATTTGATCCCCAAAAAGTTTTATAAGGTGGAGAAATTGATTACATAACAAGTTAGATGATCAAATTAAATGTTACAACACCGAATTAGAGAAGGGACTAGACCACGGACCCGATGCCCAATGGGCCTAACATTTATGGCTTATACCAAAATTCTAAATTTGTCCTACTTCAGGCAATATACGGTGCGCATGAATACCATTCTGTACCCGAAAACTATTTCTGAGCAGAAATGATTTTTTTTTATTTTATGCCCGGAAACAATTTCTGAGTATTTGAAGGCGTTTGATAAACGACCAAAATTTCTATTCCTAGAGTAGAAAAGAACGAAATGCGTTTAGTAACTACACAAAATTTACTGTTCCTAAATAAATAATATTTTGAATTGTTTAATTTTTTTTTCTTTCTACCCATTTTCTTCTTTGGCCATGGCGCCGCGACCGCCATGCCTGGCCGGCGAGGGCGTCACGGCCCTCGCGGCCGCCGGCGGAGGAGAGGGTCGCCTCGCCGGCGAGGGCGAGGTTGGACCTCGCCGCCGGGCGAGGCCGACCTTGCCGCGCGCACAATGGCGAGGCTCGGCCTCGCCGTCAGCGAGGCGTCGGCTGGCGGGGTCCGCCTGCCTCGCCTCCAGGGCCGCGGCCGTGACGCCTCGCGCCTGGCCGGTGGCGCCGCCCACCCAAGAAAGAACAACACAAAAATAAGAAAAAAAAAAAAAAAAAGAAAAAAAAGCGATTCTCAAAATTGTCTTAAAACAAGAAGAACTTTTTTTACTTCTTGTTTCTCTTCCCTTGTTTCTCGGCATAAATTTTTGCAAAAATGTGCCCGGGAACAAAAAGTTTACCAAACGCATTTCTGTTCCCAAACTATTTATGGGAACAAAAAAATAGAAATTTTCACTGTTTGGCGCGTTGCCAAACGGGCCCATAATATTCATAAATGGGCAAGCTTTGGTGGTTCCCTTCCAAGTTGTGGTCCACTCATTGTTGATTTTATAGTGATTTCATACTTATTACCAAAGTCAAATGGCAACAAATTTTTTTTTGTGAAATACCCTCGAAACTGTAAATTTACACTTTTACCCTTTCCTTGGATCAATGTGTGAAGGCATGAGAGTGCAATTTTGAACGTGGAGAGTTTATAGCTATGATCAGGCTACGTATTGATATGCCGAAGATTACGAATTACTAATGGTATTTGCGTTTAGGATTAGTTAAAAAAAATTACTTTTTACGTAGATAATGATGATTAATCATTTTAATAGCAATTCGGACCGATCCAATGAACCTTAGGGGTACCTAGTTGATTTTCCCTTTACTTCCTTGTTAAAACCTCTTTTTTTTCTCTTGAAACGGCGGCTATAATCAAATTGCCGTAATAGGCCTATTGGTGTTAGAAAGTATATCTACCGGAGAGGAAAACGGGACTTGGTAATCTTATCTGATGCGGGCGATTTGATTTAATTTGAATTAGCGCACGAAAGTGGAAACATCTCCAATGATAAGAGTGATATGTATGCACGTATTAATGATATTCGCTAAAAAGAACTTAATTACAAAACTCCTATAAAGTAGAGAAACCGTGCGCTTGAAAAAGCTCGATAATCAAATTAAGTAAACATCATAAATTAGAAAACGAACACAATCACAATCCTCTCTTATCTGAAGTAATTTGATAGTTCTTTACTTATCGCTAGATTTTGACAAGAATTTCAGTTCGATATCACGTCCGATTTGTATGCTCAATCGTTGAACCCGTTCTTACGGTTATGCCCCGTTCGAATCTGTCTGGGCCGGTTTACTTCGAGGATGGAAACATAGCGGATTCGAAATACATATTCAATCTTAGAAGGAGTTAAAAAAAAAAGAAAAAAAAAAGAGGATACTAAAGTGTCATACTATTTTTGTTTGGAATGTAGGGGGAAAAAGAGGAAAATGGAAGGTTGGGTATGATGAAATGAAATAAAAAGTGAAGAATTTTGGGAGAGGAAAGAGCAACTCGATCAGGGGCAAAAATGGAAAAAAAGAGGAGAAACTCTGCCCTTCCAATTTCGAAATCTTTCCCTTAAAAAAAGTCGCAGGAACTCATAAATCCCGGGCCGCGATTGGTCTGTCCATTTCTCTTGGCTGTCACGTCGCCGTCACTGGAGCGCCGCACTCTGAACGGCTCTCTCTCTCTCTCTCTCTCTCTTTCTGTGTGGTGCGGCGCCTGGAGGTGGTTTCTTCTTCTAGGGTTTTCTGGGGAGCTTCTCGAATTCCACCGGCGGAGAGAAGAAGAACTCGAGCGCGACCGTACGATCTCTCGCCGTCGCTGCGGCGGTGCCCAAGAAGCAGGCTGGCGTTCGATCGGCGATATCTCCGGAAGAGCTCGATTTTCTCGGTTTTCGTCCAGCAGCCGCAGGAGGAAAAGTTTCCGGGGAAATGGGGTGCTCGTTGCAGCTTTGCGGAGCGTAATCGATGCTCGAAGGAGGTCACGAGCACCTCCCTCGGGACACTCGACGGTGGCCGTCCTCGAGAACATCGAGGCCTGCAAGCAGCAAATCGAGGTTCTCTCCGTTTGGCGCAAATGTTCCATTTTTTTTTTATGCGGGAATCGGGAAATTCAACGTGTAAGTGATCGAACTCGCTATACGCGCGAGTGGTTAGTTGCTTCCCGTGGTTTAATTTGCTTCGCCGAAGGAGCGCGGCGACGGGGTTTTAGTCCCGGTCGGTTCGGTCGTCGTTGCCTTAATGCCTATTGACCTGAGGGAAGTTTTGTGGTTTTGATGGTGAACGAGGGGGTTTAGTGACGAATGCAATTTTTTTTTTTAATTAAGGTCTGTGAACTTTTGAAGGGCGGGAGTAATTCTGATGAGTTTCTTTTGCGACTGCGTATTTGATCAGGGCTGGCAAAAGATGGTTAGGAATCACTTGGGCAAGCTCTTTGTCATGAATGATTGCCGAGGCCACTGTCAATGTGCTCGAGGTTCAGCATCTGCTGCCGAGTTTTTTTGGGTCGAGCAGGCGAGGCTCGGCAAGAGGAGATTGGCGATAGTGCTAATTTGACAATGTCTTTCGCTGGAGAGCTGCTCTGAAATTGCCGAGGAGCTTATTAGGGTGGGACTGCATCCAAGCGAGATTGTTAGCCATTATAGTAGAGGGATCGACAAGGTTTGTGTTTGGAAGTGCTCAATGGCTGGCCCGCTTATGACCTAAGGAGGTCAAGAATTTTCTTTCTGGTATGTTGAATCTTTTAGACAATTTAGATTTTAGATGAATTGGTAGAAAAAGGTTCCGAAGTGATGGATGTACTAAATAATGAGCAAGTTTTTACACGGATAAAAGCTGCTGTTGCCAGTGACCAATTTGGATAAGAAGACCAGCTGTGTTTGAGGTCTCGCATATTCACTAGGCATGCACCGGAGTCCACCCCAGAAACCCAGCAAACTTCAATGGTCATAATGTCCTAGTTGCCAAGATTTTTGGGGGGGAGGGCTACATAATAGCACAGTTGTCTGGGGTTTCGTCACTGATACTTCTCTCCTTTTTACATATTAGTGGTCATCAATTTTGGTTCCTAGACATTGTTCCTTAAGTTTAAATTTTACCTTTCGTGTCTGCCAAAGGAAGAGTGCTTCATTCGCTGAAGAACGGCTTCTGTAGAGTCTTTCCTGTTGCATAGTAGGCTAACTTAAAACAGTTTAGGGATTTCTTTGCTGCTGTAGTGTCTGGAACTGAAGTAGGATAGTCTATATCTTCCCTTTTTAAAAAAAATGGCTTACACTTTAATTTGGAAGGATGCTTTGCATACGGAATTATTGATTAGGCTTCCACTGGTGTTGCAGGTTGGCTCATTATGCTATTGGAAATTTGCGGAGAGTTTGAAAATGGTACCAAAGACACTTGCTGAGAATGCTGGGCTTAATGCTATTGACGTTATATCATCTCTGTATGCTGAACATGCGAATGGAATTGTCAAAGTGAGTATCAATTTAGAGGAAGGCACTTGTAATGATGTTTCGGTCATGAATGTTTGGGACCTCTGCATCAGCAAGTTAGCTGCTTACCCGACTTTTCATATCCACCTGCTTTGGTTGCAGAGATACTTCCCTGGATCAACTGGAATTAAGGTGACCATATTTACTGCATCTGTTGAGTAGGCAACCCATTCTTATGCTTTACTGGTTGACTATGTTAAAGTTGTAAACAAAGGGATCATTCTCCGAGGAACAGCTTAGTTTCACTGTGAATGGAGTACATATATGAGTCTGGGTTTAGGTGTCACCAACCTGTCTTCGACTTATGTAAGATCAAGTTGGATGTAATGAGTGAAGGCTTTAGCTGAAAAAGCATGGAACGTAAGCCATGCAAATTAATATGGATATACATTATCAATATTCTTGGTTTTGCTTTATATACCAGGAGATTTTAAAATGTCATGCATTATTATAACAAGCATATTGCTTATAATGTGCTTTTCTGCAGGTTTTTTGCTCTTGAATATGCTGCTGATGTGCGCATCGGGTTGATCGGGTAATTTTCTGAGATTATGGATCAGTCTGTGTGTCGAGTGAATTCCCAAGAAGCAAAAACTTGCATTGACAACAGATTGCTAGGAACTCTTAGCCTCTGTGATCAAATCATCATATTGTATATTACTCGGGTTGTCGCTCTTAGGTGTTTTCCGGTAGCTTGGTTCTCAGGAACAAAAGGACAGTCAATACTTTAATTTGTTTTTTAATTTGGAAGCGGTTTTGCTAAACTTGTATATGCATAAGATCGAGTTGTACCAAAGCCCATAGTCCCCGGAATAATAAAATTACCCGTTGGGGGTGTGAAAGTAGATTTTTCAGGTCTGTGGTAATTAATTTTTAAATTGTTATCAACTTGTAACCATTGATTTGCAATTCTTGTTATTCTGAGATTATGGTATAGGTGGATTTTGTATGAGCAAGGAGATCATGATGTGGTTGTGCATCAGCTGCTAAGGTGCAAGATACATGTACTTAAGATTGTGTGCCTGATTTGAGTGATCCATTGAAGCAGGACAATGGATGCTTTAGCAATCTAGTGTTGGGACGATGAACATTAATGTTCTTTCCAGAGTAGATAGGAACTGCTTTTCGTGTTATATGCAGCTGTCTGGTTTGTTCTATGACGTCATCGCAACTAATTGTGGCCTGCTTTGGATGCTGTGGATGTTTATGCTCCATCAAAGCTTTTCAACCTTCTGAGTGCTTTTAATATCGGTGTTTCTCGATCAAGTCAGCGACACAAGGCTTCTTTCACGCGAGGTATGGGCCTTGAACTGAACGGCACTCGTTGTATTGTCAGATCATGATGGCAAAAACCAGCTGGAGACCCGACAGCGGCCGGGATGGAGGACTAATGCTTTGAATTTGATCCGAGGCAATGGCTACCAACTTCATTAACCACAAGATTGTTTCAGGTGCCAGCACGGCGTCCCTTTCCTTTCATCTTACATCTATCTTTTCCTGCCCGCGCTCTTCCGTCTCGTTGTGTAGAATTTCGATAATTCTCATGGCGAAATCGACAGGTTTAACTATTGGAAATCCCTTTATCTGGTGGCTTGCCAAGACTGGCCTTCTAATTGGTGGCGTTTACAACGTGGGGTCCCTAACTTTCGTGCTCTGAACAGCGTTGTGCACGTCGCTGGTGTGGCTTGCTGCGGTCTTTGCTAATTTTCTCGCGAGTTTACTTCGACGGAGAAGTCTTCGCCCATGATTTTCAATTGTATTCGTTTTCTTGTCTCATGCTTTGACATTTTTTTTTATATTAAAATTGCTTTTTGGATACCGATGGTTCTTGTCTAATCACAACCGATGTGGAAGATAAAAACCATCTTTTCCATTCCAACTACTCCTCGAACGAGAACAAATTTAACAATTAAAAAAACAAGCTATGAAGAGGAAGTCATGAATGTGGCACCTGAGAATCTTTGATTATTCAACTCTAGTCCTTGTGCTTTTATCGGATGTTCGATTTGATCCTTAAACCAATCTCCGGTCACAACATCAAGACTGCGTCCTGTATTTTCGCTTTCTCATTGACTGGCGTGTGGGAGAGGAACACATGCCGTTGATGTGGATTAAAAAGAAGAAGAGAGAAATCGAAGAAAATTTACGAAAGTGATCCATGGTACTAATTATTAGTCATGTTCTTTCGGTCGCCCTAATTTAGTTTGCGAAAAATGTGATCTGTAAACTAATTTCTCCCTCTGATGTCTAGATATATTCCTTATTTCCGTTCTAATGCATATGTGTTGAAGGTCAACAAATAATTCGACATAGGATAAATAATGGGATAATTGTCCAAAAGGTCTTAAATTTGTTGTACGTGGGCCAGAAGTACTAAATTGTCAAAAGGGTTGTAACTAAATTGACCGCCGCACGATAAATTTATGACTTTTTGGATAATTATCTTGATAAACAATAAAAACTTAGAAAGTTGATGATCTAAACCTAAAGTTGTAACGATCCATTCCGATCTGCATGGACCGATCCGCCGGAAGCAATTTTGAAGAGGGAACCATTTTCTGGCCCAAAAGAGTGGCGACCATTTAGGTAGAATTGCTTGTAGGGCTAGCAATTTTTGCGCTAAATATAACACGTGTTAATGATTATTGCTTAACCCAAGTTTTTGTTTGCATGGAGACCAAAATTAAATTAGGGTGATAGTATAGGGATTACTTATGTGATTGTAAATTGTAATGTCCCCTCAAACTTTGAATGCGTTCATTCCACATTAGTCCATGATTGTTAAGATTGCCGTTTGCCTCGAAAATTGTATGATTGCTTCAAAATCGTTTTGGAGGAGAATCGCGAATTGAGTCGATAAACAGACTAAAATGACAAGTCAACTCGCTCTCGATCGGTGATTAAGCCTTAATCAGCGTATGAACGGATGTATAGAATTCGTTGTGCAATCGTGACGATAAATTAGTGTAGAAATCAAATTTATCACAAAATAAAATAGAAAGGCCAAATAGAATAATACAAGGTCCTTATGCCTAAAATTTGTAATTTTATGCACTTTTAAATAAGAAATAATTTTATTAACCAGCATCCAAGCAACCAAATAATGAAAAATGACAAGTTCTAATGCACTCTAATGTGTAATCGGTTTCTCTTTAATCGAAACAATGGTAGATTGTTTTTACATTTAGTTTTGACAACACTATGGTTGTGTTTGTTTCGTTAAAAATGAATGATTTGGAAAATATTTTTTGTAAAAATAATCGTCGGTATCACTTATGAACGAAAAAAAATATCATCATTTACAGAAATATTGAGATATAATTTGTTGTCGATAATGGAATATTTTTCATTAACTAATTATTTCAAGATACAATCGATTATTTTTAGAAAAATATTTCTCAAATCATTCATTTTCTAAGAAACATTATTTCGTGGAAAATGAATGGATACGAAAATAGATATATTTTTAAAATGATTGCTTGTATCGCTTATAAAAATGAATGAATAAAAAAAGGAAAATGACACAATGATCCCTAAACTTTGGTCAAAAGTGCAATGTGATCCATGAACTTTCAATTTCTTCAATACGATCCCTGAACTTTAACCCAATACTCAATGTGATCCCTGGACTTTTAATTTGTTCAATATGATTCTCGAAAAGTTCAGTAAACAATATCAAACATTTTTATATAGTACATGGACTAGTTTACACATGTACCAAAAGTTCGAGGAACCACATTGAACAAAATAAAAGTTCATGAATTATATTGAACAAATTGAAACTTCGGGGACCACACTGCACATTGGCCAAAATTTAGGGATCATTTGTGTTAGGGCCTGTTTGGTTCGGCTTTGGGGGAATGCATTTGGCAAAATGCAAATACCTTTGAGTTAAAGTTTTCCGAAATGCAAGTAGTGTTTGGTAACGTGTCTTTTAAAATCACATTTGAAAACAACTTTGGTTTAAATACCGTTTGGTAAAATCTTAATTTTGTAAAGGACTTTTGCTAATATTTTTTAAAAATTTTTTTGGCTCTGAACAAGCACCGCACGGCTGATCGTTCTGCGATCGTCCATAGCAAACGCACCGGCCGGCCGGATAATCCTCCGGCGGCAGATCGGCCGGCACTGCTGGAGGCGGGACCTCCGGCGACCCCAGCACTCGGGTCGCCCAGGCCCGGCGACCACCTCCAAGGGTCGCCCCGACACGCGGCGCTTGGGTCGCACGATCCAGACTGGTCACGGGCGAGCGACCGCCGCTCGAGGTGCTCTGGCGACTCCCAAAGGCGATGCGTCGCCGGGTCTGGGCGACCCTGAAGCAAGTGGTCGCCGGAGGTCGGCCGATCCCTCAAGCGGCGGTCGCCGGACCCTCGTGCGGCCTCCGTGTGGCTCCTGGGCGCGATGAACTTAGCGGAATGAAGTCAGTGCCACTTGCATTCGAAAATGCTACTTCCCAATGCTCCTTCAACCTCCATTTAGCCAAAGGCCCTTAGGAAGCTTTGGAGATGCAATTGCATCTCCTCAAAGCTTGCAAAAAAAATTGCCAAACAAGTTTGCAGATTTGCCCTAAGGGCCTTTAGAGCCCAAAGAAGATTTGAACGTCAACAAAAATGCCCTTATTATCCTAACGAAAAATATTTTCATCGTTTACGAAAATGTATAGAAATAGATTATTATCGATAATGACAATATTTTTTATTGACTATTTATTTCGAAAAATATATACGATTGTTTTAGGAAAATGTTTCTAGATTTTTTATTTTTTTGGAAATAAAATCTTGAGAGAGAAATGCACAAGCGTGGGGCCTACACAAATCCAGACAGAAACACTCGTTGCCGCTTGTGCAGATCAAAACAGAGGATGAGCTCCAAGCGTGTGTGGGTGGAAACCGCTTCCCATTTCTCATCCCCCATGGCTGCTTCCTTCCTCTCCTTCAACCTCCCCAAGCCCACCCCCGCAAGGCCCTCCGCCGCCGCCGCAGCCGCCGCCGCGGACGGCCTCAACGACAGGTTCGGCCGGAAGGGGATCAAGTTCTCGGAGACGGACGGCAGCGCCCCCGCGGTGGAGCTCACGGTCCGGAACGGGAGCTCCCTGAGGCTGACGATACCGGACGCCCACGTCGCCTCGTACCGGCCCAAGGTGTTTTGGAAGGACGACGGGTTCGAGGAGGTTCTGTACACGGTGAACTCGCCGGGCAGGGTCAGGGGTGGGGTCGGGTTGGTGATCAACGAACTGGCGGCGGAAGCAGGGTCCCCGTCCAAAGGGTCGCCGGCCAAAGGGTCGCCCGTCGCCGCTTCGGAGTGGACCGTGAAGGATGCGGACTCGGACTCCATCGATGCAGTCCAGGTGTTTGTTGCATTTACATACTTGCACCCTTTCTCTTCCTCTGTTTCTTGCTTTATGGTCCTTTTGCTTAACTTGTGATGGGTGTTCTATTGCTACGGATGCTGGTGTCTGAATTTTCTCTGTCGGGGTCGATGAATGCAGATAGTTACGGGTGATTGCTAGTTTGAGGGTTAGCTTGACTGCTGTTTCGATTTAAGATCAACATTGGTATATGTAGTTACAAGTTAGTTGAGATCATGTGTCTATGTAAGAATGACATGTTAACCATGGCGATATCAATCAACATTGCAAGGAATCAGCGGACAAAGGGAGAAAATGCAAGATGATTCTTTGTTCTCATTTCTTAAATGGTAGGTTTCTCTAAAAGGCTTCTTCGCCCATGTCAAAAAAGAATTTCACTCTGCTCTGGAAGACCAGAAACTCCCCCATCTCTTACCTAGAAATTTCTGCATCTGACTAAATCCCAATACTGTCGAATCGGCATGGTCAAGTTAGTCCACATAGCTATTCACATAGCTATTCTCCTTAGAAGTAATAGCTCTCTGGGGTTGCACATCTTATGTTGCCTTGTTTGGTTATTTAATGGAACTGCCCTTCTTGCTCGAATTTCAGAAGCGCGTTTTTTCTGGCTTTGCTGCAGGTTGAGTTGAGCTGCACGTCAGGAACGCTTGAAATCACTTACGTTGTCTCCTTGTATCCGCTGAGCATGGCAACTGCGGTGATCGTGAAGAACAAGGGTCGAAGGGAAGTGAAGCTGAACAGCGCTATACTTAGTCACCTCAGATTCAAGAGACGCGGAGGGACAGCGATTCAGGGGCTCTGTGGATGCTCCTACTGCATGCACCCTCCTCTCTCTTCTCCCTTCGAGCTCCTTTCTCCTGCTGAGGCAATGAAAACCGAGTCCTCTGGATGGTTCTCCTCGGAGCCTCAAGAAAAGCCCGGGTCATGGACCGTGCAAGACGTGCCAATCACCATTCTAAAGGACAAGCTTAGTAGGGTATATGCAGCTCCGCCGACGGAGAGACTAAAGGCTTTCTACAACACCTCACCCTCAAAATATGAAACAGTGGACCAGGTATACATCACAACTAGCGCAGTTCTTCATTGCTGAAAATGCGGAAAATAGTTTCAATCTGTTGCTTCTCATAGAAGGATTCTTAGAGGAATACACTATTTTCCCTTGTCAATCACAAGGTCTATTAGGTTTTAAAATTAAATTAGAAAAACAAAAAAATTTGTTAAAATAAAAAAAAAAAAAAAAAAAAAAAAAAAAAAAAAAAAAAAAAAGCCTGTATTCCAAATTGACTGGACAAAATTTCTTGTGCGGAAACTTGCATGCGTTTGTTCTTAGTTATGTGATCTCGGGTCTACATAACATTCGCCAGATTATGGTTACTTTTCCTGAATAAGTTTCCTAAAGAATGACGTCGGACATCTCATCCAATTAACCGTACTCGTTCCATTCTATTTCATCCAGGGACGCGAGCTGTTCTTCAGGATGATCAGGATGGGCTTCGAAGACATATATGTGGCCAGTCCAGGCTCTTTCTCAGAGAAGTTCGGGAAGGACTACTTCATCTGCACCGGACCCGCCTCGATGCTGGTACCCGTGGTCGTGAAACCAGGCGAAGATTGGAGAGGAGCGCAAGTTATCGAGCACGACAACTTGTAACCGTAGAACTGCACCTTATCAACACGGCCATCATTCATTTTGTATTCAGTCTATAGCTATAGGATCTTATCCATAGTACACAATTGTAAAAGGACCATCCCTTCAATTTTGTAGCAACATTTACTTCCAACACACACCACCTCTCTGCAATCATTATGAAATCGAGTGCTCAGTTTATGCGTTCCGGGCCGTCACAGGAATAAAAGTTAGCCGACGACTGAGAAACCAGTCGAGTCGCTTGTGACGGGGGGGCTGTCGGCTCAAAGCTGCTAAACCTCTTTGCGATTCCTTTTGCGCCGTCCCCTTCGTCTTCACCTCGGAAAGGGATGTCCTGAGAAAGGCACCCCTGATCTTCTTTCTCATCAGTTTGTGTTGCTTGTGCTTCTCCAATGGAGGTTGCAGGACAGAGCAACGAGATGAACCGCTAGCAGCAACGGAACTTGCCACGTCATCATCGCCTTCGCCGAAACGGTCGCCGCATTTTTCAGACAGAATATCTTCGCGGAATATCTAGGAAAAAAGGGAAAATGTAAAAAAATCCGCAGATAAAGTGAGGCCCGCCCCGACCAACTGATTTTGCAATATCAGGAAAGCTTTGTCGGAACAGAACAGCGCGAGCTTCGAAGCACGATGGCTTGCAACGCTCTCTCGTCGCTCAACTTCGTCGTTCCCAAGCACTTCCTCTTCTCCGATTCCCTCCACTACGCCGCCAGATCGAGGCTCGCGCTTCCGCCGCCGTCGCGTGTCGCCTCCATCCCGCTCCCGCCGACGAGCGCCGACTACCTGGCGGGCGAGTTCAGCGGGCGCGGGGTGGCGTTCGAGGCCATCGGGGACGACTGCGTCGCGAGGCTGAGCCTCGACGACGGGAGCTCGGCGGTCCTGATGCTCCCTCGCGGCCTGGTGACGTCGTACAAGGCGCCGATGTGGCACGGGGCGAGGATGGAGCTGCTGCAGACGGTGGTGTCGGAGGGCGAGGACGGCGGAGGGGCCGAGGTGCGAGGCGGGGTGTGCGTCGACGTCAGCGTGGAGGGAGACGGCGAGGGCGGGCGAGTCTCGTGGCGTCCGAGGGATTGGGCCGTTCGCGATGTTCGAGGAAATTCGGGTGACTCAGTGCAGGTTTGGTTTCTTCTGATTCTTCCTTTCCATTGCTGCTGCTGCTGCTGCTTTAGCATCGTTCATTGCTGTTTGTGGAAATTGCTGATTGGAACAGCAGAGAGAAATTAGATGAGTTTACTGAGGAGACATGGAAATCCTCATCTGTTCTGCACAAAGAAGAATGAGATGATTCATGTGAAATTGTTGTAGATTCTGAGAATGTGGGCTAATCAAAGAGGATGTATGGAATCTTGAGTTGCAGGTAGAACTGATTAGCCGTGATTCGGAGGGCATGGTGGATGTAAGATACGTGTTGACCCTTCGAGAACAAGTCTTGAGCACCGAAATGGAAGTCTCCAATTCAGGCACGACGACGGTCGAATTGAGGGGTTCGATCTTGAGCCATCTGAACGTGAGCACGCCGGACGCAACCTATGCCGTCGGATTAGAAGGCTCAGATTTCTTCAGAAGGCCTCCTTTCTCGTCGAGCTTCAGAATAGTTCCTCCGGAATTCGACCAGAAAAGCAAGCTTGGTTTGGGCAAGCTGTGGGAGAAGTTCAAACCTCAAGGATTTGCCTCTGGAAACGATTATGGGATGGAGGACGAAATGGAAGGTGAAGAAGACGACAATTATAAGCGCCTTACGGATGAAATGAGCCTTATATACACCAGTGCCCCTACAAACTTGACAATAATTGACAGGGTATGGCTTCAGAACTGTAAACTCGTGTGTCATCACTTTGTTTCAAGTGTTCTTCACAACATTTGGCATGAAGAAAATAACAAATGATGAAGTGGTTAGTTGTTGCTCTGATTGCTTCTTTCCTGGAAGGAAGATGGCATTAACTGAACTAGCTAATTGCATTTGTGGATAAGATAACGCAATATAAGCATCTTCATCTGCAACTCTTTGATGACCATAACATAATCCAATGTGATCATCTGAGTTTGGTCACCTTCTCATAAAGCTTTTCCTTATATTATTCGTGATGCACATCTTGAATCCTCTGTTAGCGAAATCTATCAATGCTGAATCTTTGCAAGGAGCTCTGATTTGCACCTTTTAACATCAAGGGGGATCCAAAGAGAAACAGCTTGCTCATTGTTTATCCAGAACGGCATATAGGTGCTGCTCTCTGCCATCAATATAAGACCATATTGCACTGACTCTCTTCATAAAAAAATTTAGCTTTAATGACTGCTCCGAAAGCCTTTTCTTGACGACAGGCTCATTGCTTTGCTTCATTTCAGTCATTCATAAACACTAGGAAACCACTTTTCCGCCTCAATGATTGTCTTTTCCTATGTGTGACAGGGAAGGAGGAATTCAGTGGTAGTAGGAAAGGACGGTTATGACGAACTATACCTGTACAGTCCTGGTTCTCAGCACGAACACTACAGCAAGTATGCATACATCTGTGTGGGGCAGTCAGCTCTCCTTAAACCAGTGGTTATTGGTCCTGGAGAAGTCTGGATTGGAGGGCAACATTTACACAATCCAAACGTCTGAAGTCCTGGAGTGGGTCTTTTCGTTGTAGGCATTATTAGAGCAGCGTTAGGGAACTTGAGAGCGTAAATTAATATGCTTCTCTAGAATTTATACTGTAATTGACGCATATTAATGCCAATTCCTCAATCTAAATATTTGAGCCTTCTGAAAGCTAATTCACAACCCTTCTTAAAATTGAATTTCACAAAAGAGGGAGGGCCTCAAACAATTAGTAGAAAGGCACTTAGAAAAGCGTGCTATCGCCTTCACTATTCATCATCATGATCAGGTTTTGCCAAAATGACAAATTGATTATGCATGCACCATCCCACTTTGACAGCATCTCACTGCCATTCACTAGGCTGCAATGGTAGCTATTGAACGTGCCATCAACTTCAAAAATTGGTACACAAACATTTAGCTGAATCCTTTACTTGTATATCATATTGAGGTTCGTGAACAGAATTTCATTAATTGCAAGGTAAAATTGCTTCATGCTATCTTGATAAGATTGGCTTACTGCTCATTAGAAAAAAAAGAAAATACAAGATGTTGAGTACCTGTAAAATGTTCTGACTATCCTAAAAGCAACTGGTAAACATCTAAGTTGGTACAAGACGGCCAATCTCAAAGTTAACATCTTTCCAGAATAGTGAAGGGCCAAATGCAAGCAATATGAAAAACAGGGCAAACATCACTGCTAGAAAGGTTCTCTTCAGAGTCTTCGTGATGTCGTACATCTGACGTGATCTTGCATCTTTAGAGATCACATCATGAGACCCTAAAGAATGGACAGTTGATAATACTGACTCTGATCCGCCTTGAAACTGTTCAACACCCATATTTTCATGTGCTTTGACCTTGTTTGCATCACAGGGAGAACCATGATTGTAGGGTGAACTCTGAAGCAAAAACAATGGAAAACGATAGTTCAGCACTATACTAGACTGCTGACCATGACTAAACATGATTGTGCAATCTGGGGAAGGCAAAGAAATTAGGAGACTATGAAATGCTCCCATATCTATGGCAAATCATAGTAGAAGTCACTGAGTACATCAACTTGTTCATACCAGGAAACCAATACAGGCATCATTTTCCACAGCACATATAATAAAAAGGAAGCGGCTAGTTAAGTCTTTTTACCTGGGGAGTTGAAATTGGACTGTGTCCTGCTGCTCCATCAGAGAGACTTCCCTGCATGAAATCTTCAAATTCATCACTGTAATTTCCTCCTCTATGATCCGACTCACGGTAGCTCACACATTCAGAATTTGTGTAGGAGACACCACTCCTGTGAGCCAACTGAGATAACAAACCATCCTTCAGAGACGCATCTACCCCTCCATTCTCAAACCTCCATAACTTCCTGTTCGCACTTCTACAAGTATAATCCAGATCAGGGGAAACCTGCCTTGATGAAACTGGTGACTCGAAGAGGGAATCACATCCACTGAAGGAATTGAGGGTCTGAGAATCAGGCGAGGCCGATGCAGATGACCGCCCACCAGAGCCCCAGCAACCTCTCCTCCGACCATGCTGTCTTCTGCCAAAATTTGACCCAGTGACTGAACTGGACTCTCTCTCTGATTTTAAACCTTCCTCTGCAGCAATTCTCCTAGCAGTTTGCCAAGCTTCAAATGCAGCTCCACTAACAAAAGCCATCTGATCGGACTGACATTTTTCCATCTCATCAGTGATCAAATCAAGCTCAGAATATATGCTCCTAGGATCTAAGCTCTTCATCAGGAAATTCACCATCTGAATGGCGGATAATCGTTTCTGAGAATTCCCCTCGGAAATTCCAGTATGCAAGATCCGCAGTCCCGATTGTATTAACAGTCTTGCATAGGCTTCAACAATGAGGGCATTATGCTTTGCCAATGACATTACAAGACCCATATGCGAGTTAGTTTGAGTAGTTTTCTCCTCCAAAGCAACGGTGACATTTTGACAGACTCTATTCACCATCTCGTCTGATGCAAACCGCCAATTATCAGAGTCCACAAGGGCTTTTAGACACAGGGCAGCACCAGAAGTTAAACTCTCCTGAGAACCCAAGAGAGATTCTGAAAGAGGCTTACACAAAGCATGAATTACGTGCCTTCTCTTGTTTTCTGGTGTGGTAGGGTCAATTCCATATCTTGCGATTGCTGGAACTACTTTCGAGCAGGCCTGTTGAAGAGGGAATGATCCTGCACTTGAAGCTAAGGTCTTGACAATGGTAGACATGATGCTATCTATCTGTGGAACAATGTTAACCCCATGGACACGGGCAAGAACTTCAAAGAGAGAAATTGTGTACTCTCCTGATACAGACCCAATTTCTTTGGTTTCCGATACTTGTGCAAGGAAGATCGGGATAGTCTTTGAATCCATGTCACTAACATATGACTCCAGCGCTTTCATTGCAGATTTACGACTATCAGCATCCTTATCCAAATTAGCCAACTCTTTACGGAGTACCGCGCTGAGAAGTCTAACCATTTTCACCTAAAATCACATGACCGGAGATAAGTAAGGCAATTTAGACAGAAAGAGTGTCATTAGCAGGTGTCAAAATAGTCACTGTCTTCTTCATTCCATTATTGGGCTCTTCAGTTAGCTATTGCACTAAGTCAAAGTGTGCAACTTTTGCTGATTTATAGAATCAAAACGTGCATGCATATTCTTCGTGAAAAAATAATCTATTTGAAAAATATTTTTCTCGAAATACTTATAAAAATTACGTTCAAGCATCTGGATGTCTCATAATCCGAGAGGAAGCCTATCCGTTTATGGCCAAATCTCAAATTCTCTTCACAGTTTATGTACCTAAATCCACGACGAACAGTCATTTTAAAAAGTTCGAATTTCATGGTCAAAGCCCAATTGCGCAGCAAAATATCATCTCGCCCCATTAAAGCATAAAAAAAATGATAAATCTTCATTTACAGTGCTTGCAAAACATACTGAGAAGTCATTAGTTCGTTAGTTCCCCTGCACTGCCCCCGTTCTTCAATATCCCTTCATAGTAGGTCGTATTCTTTCTGAGTTTCCCCAATTCGTAGTGTTAGACATCCATTTCACTCAAAGCAAGCACCTTGGTATGTTTCGGAATCCACAAAAAACCCACCCGCCTCGCGACCAAATCTCAGCTCTTTTGGACGTCGTTGATCTCTAACAGTGAAAGACATCAACAGAGACATACCACAGTAAAGATTTTCAAAGCCCAGTTGCCCAAATCAATCAAAGTCGCCGAATCTCGTCTCCGACACGAGGCCGAATCAAGAAGGCAAGAAAAACCAATCGCGGTAAAGAAACGGGACGGAAGCAGAAATTACCGGTCAGAAGCGACTTCAAGTTACAGGGTCCTTCTTTCCGCCGCGCCTTCAACGCACTGATTTTGGCTCTCCGCCGCCCGAATCCTCAGATCTCTGCGCGCAAAAATGAAACGACGGAGATCCCCAGTAGTCAGCCGGGAACCGAACCCCACGCCCACCCAACGCCAACGAACAGAACCAGGGCGAAAAAGGGTACCCAAAAAGAAGAAGAAGGAAGAAGAAAATCTTCCTCGGAAGGGGAAAATTAACAAATGCTTTTCACGAAACGCCACAGTGCGGCGTGAGAATCATCAATTCGCCATCATCAACAAGTGGTTCCCACCACCACCACCACCACCACCGAAGAGAAGAAGCAACCCAAGAGAGAGAGAGATGGTAAGGGCGAGGTATACTCACATGGGGCTCTTCAAATCAATGGCGGGTATCACGGGAACCGCGACGAGACTGTCCGAAACTCTTTACGGGGGATGTCAACATATATGGGGTATGTACTGGCAAGACCAAGAACAAGAAGTAGAGAGAGAGAGAGAGGAAACGAGGAATTCAAATCTTTCCTTAAAATGCCACCGCTATCCCCCACCGATGCGGGCCCCACTTTGGGATTTCGCCCCCTCCTCCTCCCTCTGCTGCCGCAAAGACCGTTGTGCCCTCCCGCGTCGAGCGTTTTACGGAACTTTTCTTGAATATTTTTAAGGCTTTACCTATTGAGGACGATTCATGTGAAACGCGCAAAAAATTGGAAACCATCCTCTCATCTCGTGTGATTACTTGCAAGCGATCGAAAGATGCTCTTTTTAGCGGAAATCTTTTGCTTTCTTTGCTCGGAGGAACGGATCGAAGCGGTCAGTATTTTTCTTTTTAACCGAGAGATTAAAGTCGAAGTCAGACCGACATATCTCGAAAGGCAATGCCAATCGCTTGGTCTTGACATAGCAATCGTCGAGTGTGGCTAAGAGAGATATCGATCATCATAGTAGAAGATTTTGCGCTTTGTAACTCGTGATGGTAAATGCCAATCCACATCTGCTATATTTTTCGCCGGATGAAGATTCTTTGCATTATTCAGCATATTCTAGCGATTTTTTCTTTAAAATTTTTTACATTTTTCATTCCATGCATGTAATGCGATATTTACGGAATTTTCAGACATTTAAACATCGACGTGTATAAAACTCATCTGAAATTTTCCAACATAATTCTCCGCACGTAAAGCATTTCAAATCGGGCGAATCCGAAGGAAGGACTTAAGATCGAAAGAAAGTCACGAGACCTTTGATTTGCAACAAAAATGGTACCAAATCATAAAGACTCAAGAAAAAAACCAAGTACGTGCCAATGCCAATGCCGATTGCCTAGGGCTATAGAGGGGGCAGACTTGTCATTTCGAAGCGCGATCGATTGAAACGGCTTTTAGGGCGTAGGGGACCGTTTTCCCGCCCATTCTGCCCCGCGGGAAATGGAAGGAATCTGCTCTTTTGAAAAAGCTCGTTTTTGTTCTTTACTCGTCCTCCCCTTCGCTCGTCTCTTGCGAAGGCTTCTTCTCCACACCACACCCTGCTCTCTCGAGGCATGCAATTCCTTTTCTTTTCTTTTGGGGTTGAAATCCAACTACAAATTGCCACGCGTCGATGACGCGGACATAAAATGAAAATTTCTTTTAAAACTTACTCTCTTTTTTTTATCTCTCTTCTCCCCGCTCTGTCCATAGCCACCTCCTCCATCTACACTCGTTGAAGCCACATCCAGGCTGACCTTCCATGGTCGAGCCACCCCTCCGTCTTCGCGGCGGCTTGCATGCCCGTCCATGGCCGAGCCAGCCACCCGCTCTGTCGTCGCTCAGGGCCATTTCTCCTTTTGTATATGAACAAACCCCACGATAACTTGCAACTTGTCCATTTCCCCTCACCAAGTGGTCATGTAATGGCAAAGACTTTCAAGTCAATCTCGCTTGACACTATCAATGGCCTAGCTATTGAGGTTGCGAATGACAATAATTCTATTTCAAAAATCAATTTCTGGCTAGAAATATTCGATTTTTGTTCCTGAACGAGTTTTTGAGCAAAAAAACACGTTTGATAACGACACCAAATTTCTATTTCTAAAACAAAAATTTATTTCAGAACGGCACAAAATTTCTCCCTCTCAAGTGACCGGCGAGTGGACGGTGGGCGGATGGTGGCGGTGGATGGTGGCCGCGAATGGCGGGCAGCGGACGGCGAGGGGAGGCGGCCGACGGCGACACGGCCAGTGCGGAGGACGGCAGCTGGAGGTGGTCGGCGTCGGGCAACGGCAGGAGGCGAGCGACGGCCGACGACGGTAGGGGGTGGCGCCGGGAGGGGGGCACCAGGAGTTGGGCGGCCGCGGGAGGAAGGCGGCCGACGACGGGAGGAGGGGCGGTCGGCAGCGGGAGACGGTGGCCGGCGAATGGCAGCTGGCGACGGGGCGGGAGACGTTGAACGGCGGGAGGCGACGGCCGGCAAGTGGGCGGAGATGGGCGGCGGGTGGACGACCGGGTAGTAGTGAAGACGAGCGATGAGAAGAATTTCTCATTTTTGTTTTAGAAATAGAAAAATAGAAAAATTTTTACTTTTCATTTCTGTTCCAAACCTATTTCTGAAATCAAAATTTATTTTAGAAATTGAAAGATGAAATTGCGTTGCCAAACGGATTTCTATTCTAAATTATTTCTGACAGAATAGTTATCATCCACGGCCTGAAACACTCGAACGAAGGTCCCATCACATAAAAAACAGAAAAGTCGAGACCTTTCCAGGCCATCGGATATGTGTCTATACAAATCTGGATATGGGCGCTGCTCCAAATCTATCCAACAAGTCTTTTAACGATTAGATGACACCGGCGGGAATGCCGACGCTCGTCCAGGGCCATCGTTGGTGTCGTCCGGTCCGATCTGGAAATCCGGGCGCTCGCCGAAATTTGAAAATCCAAGGTCCACGGTCGACGGAGGACAAATACGGAAACTTTGGAAATCCAAGGTCCATAGCCACCCGCGGGAGTCATCGAAGCTCACGAAAATTTAAAAATCTGAGGTCCATGGCTGCGATGGCTGGGAATAGGGTAGAAGGGAGAGAGAGAGAGAGAAAAAGAGTGAGATTTTGATTTATGTCCATGTTATCGACACGTGACAGTTTGTGATTAGACTTCAACAAAAAATTGCACGTTACGTTAGCCTATGACGTGGCGCATTGTAACCATCGATACTTTCTCTTCGATGCCGATTACCGGGAAATTTTTGAGGCCGTATAATCACATTTTTCTATTCGATTATGTTATGATGTCGTGACGTCGTAAAATAATTTCGCGACGCGTTGTGACATTCTTACGCTTACTTATGCGGCATGTTGTATAAATCACGCGACATGCTGCGATTAGAGCTGTGCAATTGGACCGTTTTTATCAGGGATTGGGAACCGGATCGGATCGCCTTGAAAACCGATTTGGTTCCAGGTTTTCAGTTCCAAGTGAAGAATCACATGGGAATCGGACCAAATTTGGAACCGGTTTCATAAAACCTAAAAACACTAGTTTTCTTTTGGCATTTTTTTCCCTATTTCTCCCTTTCTCTGTTGTCTCCAACTTCACTTAGACACTTCACAACTCTTGCGCTCTCTCTCTCTCTATCTCTCACGTGCCAGTGCGGCTCACCTTCCTCCTCGCTCATTTGTAGCTCGCCTTCGCTCGTTCAAGCCTTGCAACCCTCGCTTGTTCTTGACTCTCATTTACTCGCTCGCCCTCGTTCATCTTTTACTTTGAATCATGCTGTAAAAAATGAAACAAAAAGAAAAAAGAAAAATAGGTTTTTAGGTATACCTTCGAAATGGACAAAAAAAAAAAACATGGTAGGTTCTAGGATTGGTTTCATGGTAAACATGATAAAGTCTAGATTCCAAAAGTTAAGAACTGGTTATAATAAAGTAGGTTTCGGGTCATAAACCTACTCACCCTCGAACCATCACCTCCAGATGGGATGCCGGAGAAGTGCAACCGATTGTCCATATGCTTTCCACTTGAATTGAATCTCAAAAGCCGAAAAAAAGAAAAATGCACAAAAGACTCGTTGAGTGTCATGATAATCTCGACCGCAGGAAATGAGCCTTATAAACGTATATCATTTGCGTTTTATGTCATAATCGTGTCAATCCGTTTGGGATGACAAAAAAGCATCGTTTTTTCGTACGACCCGATAATCGGAATTTAACTCTGATCTTTCGGTCGCGTTGACGCCAGTAATGCGTTGCATTGTATCGAGCTATTTAATCTAAATTACTTAGAGCTTCCTGTCTTTCTACTAATCATGAGTATATATATTTTTGAAACCTGAAAAGGTTGAGAGGGTCTATCAGCATAGCTCCCACCCCCAAAGGTCATAGCCCTATGAAAATTTATGAAGAATATTAATTGGATACAACTTTAAATGATGTTCTATTTTTACTAATACAGAGATGATATTCTTAAATGGAACTTTTGTAACATTTATAAAGATCAACGGATAAAAAAGTAATATAAAGAAAACATATTTTTGTTGATTTAGAAAATGGATTGAAATAAAAATATATTCCAAAATCTAGGTAATAGTGTAGTTATGAAAACTTGCGATTAGTGCCAATGGACTGAGTTGATTTTGTTGTGGAAAGCTGAGGAATTAGATAAGATAATATTGAAAGATTTGGGACTAAATTGCACATTTTGCAATTGTTTTGGGTCTAGATTGCACATGCCACAATTTTTTAAGGACTTGTGGTAGCTTTCTCCCTTGCTTTATCAAATAAAATGACTACATTGAACATTTATGAATAGTTGAAGAATTATATTAAACGAATAAAAAATTCAAGAACGACATTGCATATCGTGTTAAAGTTCAAGGACACTTAGTATCGTTTTTCCTCTGATTGATTGGTGAAATCTAATTTGACAGGACAAAAACGAAAGGTGTGATTTTAGCAAAATTGTTTCTTATCAAACAGAGAGAATTTAGTCAATTCCTTCTTTGGGGTTCTTTTGTGGGGATAATGACACAAATAGTCCCTGAACTTTGACCTAATATGTAATTTGGTCTATGAACTTTTAATTTGTTTAATATAGTCTCTGAACTTTTATTTTGTACAATGTTATCCCTGAACTTTCGGTATATGTTCAATTCAGTCCTTAGACTATATGAAAATGTTCAATGTAGTCTCTGAACTTGAATTAATGAAAAAGACTATATCGAATATTTTTTATATAGTTCAAGATCTGAATTGAACATATACTAAAAGTTTATGGATGACATTGAACAAAATAAAAGTTTAGGGATCATATTGCACATTGAGTTAAAGTTCAGGGACTATATTGAACAAATTAAAAGCTCAGGGATCAAATTGCACATTGAGCCAAAATTCATGGACTATTTGTGTCATTTTGCCTTCTTTTGTGACTAGTGGTTTTTCTTTAGGGATAATAGCACAAATGGTCATTGAACTTTCACTTGACACGTAATGTCGTCCTTGAACTTTTAATTTATGTAATATGGTTCATGGATTTTTTTTTTGTCAGAAGTTTATGAAGTTTGGCCCAATGTGCAATATCGTTTTTAGACTTTAAATTTGTTCACCGTGATTGTTGAACTATAGGTAAGTTTTCAATGTTCGAGAATCATATTGAATAAATTAAAAGTTCTTGGACAATATCGTACGATGGACCAAATATTATAAAACAACATGTATCATTTTTCCTTTACTTCATGCAGAAACTTATATTCTTTCCTTCGGCTTTGTCATGACAGCATTTGCGTTGTACTATGATCTGCCTCGTTTCAAAATCTTATTACATCGGAAAGTAATCACACCGCGAAATCCCGTCCGCCACCGAAGCCGATGACGCTCGTATGGTTCGAATCAATGCCCTGTTCCGCCGGTCGCGCTCTTCACGCTCCTTGCTCGAACGCATTGCTCCGACGCGGCAGCTGTCGAGGTCGAAGGTAATGCCTCGTTCCTTGCCGCTACTTCATCACCGCGAGAGTCCACACGGCATCATAATCTGCGCCCGTCATGTGTTTGCTCAGTGTCTCCACTGGAGCTCAAGCAGCTTGGGCTCGAAGCAAGTGGGTGGTCGCTGGGCCAGTCACGGGCACGAGCCGTCGCTCCTCGAAGGGTCTTCGAGTGTCGGGTCTTTATCGTTGAAAGGCGGCGAGAAGCTCCATGCGGGGACGTTAATGACGTGTCCGTTCGCTTCGAGTGAGCGAATTCTGGATATTGGTCTCTCGGGTCGTGACATTGATGGTGCTCGTAAGGTCTTTGATGATATGCTCGTGAGAAGCGCGTCCTCGTGGAATATGATGATATCTGCTTGTGTTGCCAAGAGGCTGAGTGGTGAAGCAGTGGGTCTATTTTGTCGGATGACAGCTGAAAGTATTCGTCCTGATGAGAACACATTCGCTTTGGTTTTGAGAGCCTGCTCCGGGAATAGAATTGCCCTCCATTTTGTCAAAGAGATCCATGGTAAAATTGTGTGTCATGGTTTTGGGACTAGCCCGTTGGTGTGTAATCCGCTAATCGATCTGTATTCCAAAAATGGGTTCATTGATGACGCCGAGAGGGTTTTTGAAATGCTGCGCTCTAGGGACAGCGTTTCTTGGGTCGCGATGATTTCTGGCTTTTCTCAAAATGGTCGCGAGAGAGAAGCTCTTCTTTTATTCTGTTGGATGCATAATGATGCAGTTCGGCCGACGCCGTATCTTCTCTCCAGTACGCTGAGTGCCTGCACAAAGATCGAGCTGTTCAAGCTTGGAGAGCAGGTCCATGGTCTCATTTTAAGGTGGGGATTCTCCGCTCAAATTTGCGTATGCAATGCTCTCTTAACATTGTACTGCCGAGCAGAAGATTGGATATCTGCTGAGCTGATATTTAGTGGGATGGAATTTAGAGATGGTGTGTCATATAACTCGCTTATAGCTGGGCTTGCTCAACATGGACTTTGCGATGAGGCTGTAAAGTTATTTGATAGTATGCTGGCTGATTGCTTGAAACCAAACCATGTTACTGTAGCAACCCTCCTGAGTGCTTCTGCTGATGCAGGGTATCTCCAGATGGGAAAACAACTTCACTCATATGCAGAAAAAACGGGAATTCTGTCCAACGTTGTTATTGAAGGTTCACTGCTTGATCTGTATGTGAAATGCTCTGACATAAAAACTGCACATAAATGGTTTCTCTCAACTAATAGACAGAACGTGGTCTTATGGAATCTGATGCTTGTTGCTTTTGGTCAGTCAGGCAATTTGACCGAGTTGCTTGAGATACTTAGAAAGATGCAGATCGAAGGCATTGTGCCCAATCAATATACATACCCAAGCATACTTAAAACCTGCATTTCTTTAGGAACTCTCTATCAAGGTGAACAGATACACTCTCATGCCATCAAGAGTGGATTTCAGCATAATGTGTATGTCTGCAGCGTGCTATTAGAGTTGTACGCCAAATGTGGAAAGTTAGATACTGCTCGAAATATACTTAGTAGACTTACTGAAGAAGATGTTGTCTCTTGGACGACAATGATTGCGGGGTATGTACAGCATGATTTATTTACTGAAGCTTTACAACTTTTCAAAGAAATGCAGAACCGAGGCATCCAATTAGATAATATCGGGTTATCAAGTGCCATCACTGCAAGTGCTGGTATCCCAGCACTCAATGAAGGACGCCAGATACATGCTCAATGCTGGGTCTCTGGTTTCTCACTCGATCTTTCGATTGGAAATGCACTTCTTAGTCTTTACAGTAGATGTGGTAGAATAAAAGAAGCATATTCAGTATTTGAGAAGGTTGATGTTGACGATAATGTATCATGGAATGCACTGATATCTGGGTTTGGACAGAGTGGTTGTCATGAGGAGGCACTGCAGGTTTTCACTCGGATGAATAAAGCTGGAGTTGAAGCTAACTTGTACACCTTTTGCTCTGCTGTAAAAGCTGCTGCTAGCACAGCAAATATGATATTCGGGAGGCAGATTCATGCTGCAATGATAACAACAGGTTATTATTCCAAAACTGAGGCTTCCAATGTCTTGATCACATTGTATGCTAAATGTGGCAGCATCTGCGATGCCAAAAGGGAATTTGATGACATGCCTGAAAAAAGTGAAGTTTCTTGGAATGCCATGATAAATGGTTATTCCCAGCATGGCTATGGTGTGGAAGCAGTGGATTTGTTCGATAAGATGATGCGGCAAGGAATGACACCAAATTCCATTACCTTTGTGGGAGCTTTGTCAGCCTGCAGCCATGTTGGATTGGTAGAAAAAGGACTCAATTATTTCGAGTCTATGAATGTAGACTTTTGTTTGGTGCCCGAACCTGAACATTATGTCTGCATTGTGGATCTTCTTGGTCGTGCAGGCCATCTGAGGCGTGCCAAGAAGTTTGCGGAGGAGATGCCAATAGAACCAGATGCCATGATTTGGAGGACTTTATTAAGTGCATGCACAATTCATAAAAATGTGGAAATTGGTGAATTTGCTGCCCGCCATCTTCAAGGGATGGAACCGGAAGATTCAGCTGCTTATGTTCTCCTATCAAATATGTATGCATTAACTGGAAAATGGGATCTCAGAGATTCAACGAGGCGAGTGATGAAAGAGAGAGGTGTGAAGAAAGAACCAGGTCGTAGCTGGATAGAGGTCAAGAACTCGGTCCATGCCTTCTATGCGGGTGATAGACTACACCCATTGACAGATGAGATATACAAAAACCTTGGAGATCTGAATTCACGGGCAGCAGAAATTGGTTATGTGGAAAAACAATTGAGCCTGTGGAGTGATGCTGAGCAAGGACAAAAGGACCCTATGAGATTTGTTCACAGTGAGAAACTGGCCATTGCTTTTGGTCTTCTTAGCTTGCCTGAGTTAATCCCAGTTCGGGTAATAAAAAATATTCGTATCTGTGATGACTGTCACAATTGGATCAAATTTGTCTCAAAGATATCGAGCCGAAGTATCATTGTTCGAGACGCGTATCGCTTTCATCACTTCAATGGCGGTCTTTGTTCATGTAGAGACTATTGGTAATGAATGAAAGCAAAAAGTCAATCAGGAAAATGACTGATTCAGGGGAACGGTATTGCATTGTAACTCTTCGAGATGAGAGGCACTTTCCCAGCCTTTTGGTTGGGATTTTGAGGTATAGAATTCCATCTCTTGATTGCTTCTCGTGGGTGGAAGATCAGGCTATGGCCCTCTTATAACTCTTTTATCTGCTGTATTTCATTTGTAGCTGCAGAAATGTTGCTTCTCCTCCCGATCATCTGTCTCAAGAGGATTTAGCTCACAATCACCCTTTTTCACGTAACGACTCCAAATTGCCTTGGTAAGCCACTTAACTGAACTTGTGTATACCTAGCTTGTATGGCTACTCACTCTGAACGAAAATGATAACAAGAGATTTTGTTCTTCAGCCATAAACCCAAAAAGAAAAATGAGCAACTCTGTTTTCATCATTTGTACCCGCACTGAAATTGGCCCCCACTGCCAATTTGGCTTGTGCTTTTGTGACAGTTCATTTTTTTTCCTTCCCAGGTGAGAGAGGAAATTATTAAATGCATTTTCCCTCTCTCAGCACAGTCTGTACACCTTGACATGCTCTGGCTGTAACAACAGCTGTTTTCACTCTGATAATCTGATACTACAACTAAACTATGGCAGGAGAAATTACCAGGTAACTTTCAACATCCTCTTGTGCTATTTACTTTGCTCTTGTTATCCAGCTCCATTCATGGTGCAACAGGGCTTGTTGGGAATTGCTGTACTGTTCAAATCTAACAGATTATAGCATCCCAATGTCGCTTTTCATATTTTCTCAATTCTATTGTTTTACTCAAGCATATAAGTGCATCCTGGCTCAGCAAACCCTTTTCAGTCCCAAAAGGTCGTTGTTGATGGTGATATGGTGATGATTTGGGAATGGCTGCCATCTTTCTCCCAAGTCAGAAATCTATATAGTTCCTAATCCTTGAACCCGTGCAAGCTTGGTAGATAGAATTTAGAAATTATGTCTTTGCCATATACAGAAGTGATGAGGCGGGGTTGCCATATTCGGCAGATATCCTATGACACATTCTTCTTCTGTATAAAGTGGTGGCTAAATGGTTTAATGCGTGAAGGCGGAAGGGAACTGTTGGGTTAGCCTTGGCAAGATTAATGCTTCTAGGATGTGTCACTTCTGCAACCTCCATGGATGTCCTGAAGTGAAAGGTAATGAGCAGCAGCAGCAGCTACGGAGGTAGAGTATGCCAACTGAATCCTTTCTGGTTAAAAGCTAATGTAAGTTTCATGTGCATCGCTTGGCATGTGGAGGTTATTCTGGGGAGTGATCAATGCCGACTTCTTCCATTCGTTCTAATAAAAGAAAAGCAGAAGAAAAGAGAACCTCATAAAAGAATCACGAGGAGAGAGCTTTTGTGGGCGGAAAAGAAGGCGATTCGTGAGATTAGGAGTGTATCTGCCCATGCCGTGTATCTATTCCATATGAATTGCTCAAAATGTCCAAAGAGCAGGTCTTTGCAACTTTCCATTCTCCGAAAGCAGATGCAGAGGCGGGAGTAATGGCAGCAGAGACAACATTGTTTCCTACAGACCCGTAAACAGGTTCTCATGTATTGTCTTCGCCTCTTCCACTGCATATGAGAAAATCACTTGAGGTGCACTGTACATGGTTCGAGCAGTACAAGATTGCTTGCTTACACTATCTCAATATAACATGACCAGTCAGTCAATCATGTCAACCCTTAAGGAATAGCAGTGGGGACAAACTAGAGTCTTGATCACCCTAAGATTTGCTCTAAACCGGAAGGATAGTAGATTGAATTCTATAAGGTGATCAGTTGCAAGTAGAACTAGAAACTGTACATTTTTGTTCCAAAATGTCGCCCTGTTTACAATGTTAATCAGCTGCAAACCCAATCTAGGAAAACCGATCTCTCACAAAATTATAGGGTGTGAGCAGTTCTAATCAGACAAGTGAACAAGGAAGAACGTAAAATTTAGAAACTCGACACACGTCCGCATCATCAATTCGTATAATACTCGAATCACCGTCACGAAAGAACTACCGAGTAATGCTTGATACGCTAATATTACCCCGGAGCTCATTTCATAATCACGATACATTTCCATTTTCATTGAAATTACAAGGAAGAAGTTTCAGTTCTTACTAACGAAAGAAATCAAGCCGTGGGTCGTGTGTACTGTGTACGTTTCTCTTTGCCTCTTTGGGTTCGTGTTCATAAAACGGGTCGGGCCCAATGTCGCCGAGGATTATCCAAATGTGCCACGTGGGACGATCTTGTCCCCTGAAAACGATCAGGACCCGCCAATCGCCATGAGAGGAAAAGCTCGGCGCGACATCACTCCCTGCGTCACTCTCCGAAGAATCAAACGTCAAATCGTCCATTTTCTCACCCAAATTCTTGTTCTTCTCTTCTGGGCTGCTTCGTTTTCCTTGGAAAGGAGACACCTTTACTAGTAATTCAGTGACCCTTCGCTTCCCCTACATCTTTCCAGCTTCTCCGTGACTCCATCCATGGCCACGACCGCCGCCGCTGCCGCCGCCGCCGAGATGCTGCCTCTGAAGGACCGGGTGGCCATCGTCACCGGCTCCTCCCGCGGGATCGGGCGCGCCATCGCCCTCCACCTCGCCTCCCTCGGCGCCAAGCTCGTCGTCAACTACACCTCCCCGGGCTCCTCCGCCCAGGCCGACGCCGTCGCCGCGGAGATCAACTCCTCGTCCCCGGGCTCCGCCGTCTCGGTCCGCGCCGACGTGTCGGACCCGGCCCAGGTGAAGTCCCTCTTCGACGCCGCGGAGGAGGCCTTCGGGTCGCCGGTCCACGTCCTGGTGAACTCCGCCGCCGTCCTCGACTCCAAGTACCCCACCATCGCCAACACCTCCGTCGACGACTTCGACAAGACCTTCAGGTTATGTGGCTCTTGAGAAAACTGGGGGGGTTCGTGTGGAATCGGTTCTTGCTTGTCATTTGGAAGCTAGTTGATGTTGGCCTTAATTGTTTTCAAGTGTTTGCTTATAATTCTGATGACAGAGTAGAGTGACAGAGAGAGTTGCCCACGTTATATGATGCAATAGAATATTCATATCTACCTAGTCACTGAATTGTGTTCTCTCTTTTAGGTTTTCTTCTCTTTTGTGGTGATGAATTCTCACAGTGATCACAAGTAGAACATTTAGAGCTGATGATTCTTTGTAATGTCTTTCACAGTATCAATGCTAGAGGCGCATTCTTGTGCTGCAGAGAGTCCGCGAACCGGCTAAAGCGGGGCGGCGGAGGCAGGATCGTAATGCTGTCCTCGTCCCTGGTGGCTGCGCTGAAGCCGAATTACGGGGCGTACACCGCCTCGAAGGCGGCGGTGGAGACCATGGTCAAGATCCTGGCCAAGGAGCTCAAGGGCACCGGCATCACCGCCAACTGCGTCGCGCCGGGCCCTATCGCGACCGAGATGTTCTTCGTCGGGAAGACCGAGGAGATGATCAACAAGGTGATCCAGGAGTGCCCGCATAGCCGGCTCGGCGAGACCAAGGATGTCGCCCCTCTTGTCGGGTTCTTGGTCACTGATGCTGCCGAATGGATCAATGGACAGGTGGTTAGAGTTAATGGTGGATATGTGTAGGTTGATGGATTCAAGCCCAGAATTATGTCATTCTTGTCTAGAAAGATTGCCTGGAATGTGTGACCTTTGCTTTGGAATTCTCTGTTTCTTTCTCTTTGTCCGATTGAGATGTTGATCCTTCGGTTCTTCAACATGGCCTGATGAACTTAATTGGCAAAATGTGAAAGATTTAAGACTTAATTGGTAAACTTGAAAAATTTGAGACTGAATTGATAAAAATACAATAGGATTACGACTTTTTGGACAATTTTCCTGTAGACCTCCAGCAATGAAAGGCTCTTCAGAGTGTGGCCAGTAATTGATGAGTAATACTTGCATGGGTCATTAATTTATTGTTAATATGATAAATTCCTTCGATCTTGGCATACGAATTATAATTAGATAAGGCTCAAATCAATATGTTAATGTGGAAATATTTTTTGTTTATTCTTATTGTAAGAGTTATAAGCGATCATCTTTAGAAAAAAGTTGCCCTAAGGTCCTATGATTGCCGACAGATGATGTAGGGATAGATGCGAGGTGGTGTAGTTTATACAAGTTGCTTTATCAAGGTCGTGTATAAGAGCCGGTCCATTGCTGGTCGATGTAAAAGGATGAAGAGGTAAAATCTATGCAGAAGACTGTGGAACTCAATAACCGGTTTCAATCAGGCAGTGGCCTCTAGCAATTATCCATGCGAGCCTGAAATCCGTGATTCGAGTCGAGGAGACGACAGAACAAAGAGGAAACATCCATGATTTCTGCATTGACAGCCTTCTTGCATGTTTATTACCGGAGCCCAATTTACCAATTCGTCAGATCGTGTCGGCTTTAAGCGGGATCCACATGGTTCGAGGTTTAAGATGGGCATGTGCATGTTTGATTCCCTGTTTGATGTTTCTGTTGCTGTAGTCCGATGTCTCTCTTACATGCGACATAAATAAGGTGGTAAGTTCTAAGGTTAGATGATTTAGTTTCATGTGGTTTGGAGGAAAAAGATGCTCGTTTGATCCTGCACGGTTACCCCTCTAGGTGTGACCATTCCATAAGGTTCTCACACGCCCGTTACTGTATGATTGGTTTGAACACGAATTCAGTTACATCTACACATCTGTTATGACCATGTAAATTTCGATTGCTGCAGAGCACATCGATAAAAGTGGTTTCTAATTTTTTTCTTCTCTTTTTTGTTAGATTAAAGAGAGGATAATGGTGACCGACTTTACAACCTCTAATATTATTATAGAAGTTTCACGCCCGCTAGATAATATCTAATTTGATCTGCGTAACTATGACCATACATACGAGGCAAGCCCCTCATTTCAACGTGCAAGCATTGTGATCATATTCGCAGTAATTCCTACCGGCAAGCGAGGGTGATTGGTTTTCTAGTGGATGATCGGTCCATGGCCTGGATCAGGAAACTGAATCGGTGGCTCCCTGGTCTTGGCCAATTCTTACCGGACCTGGAAACCAACCAAGTTCTTCTGTCAGTCGTAGAATTTGAAAGAAGAAGAGATCTACTATATGAAGTTGAGGCGTGCCCTATAAACACGAGTTAAAGTCAAGTGGTTATAGGTGGGTGACCGGGGGAGGTGGTCTCACGGCAAGGATTTGGAAAAGAGTTCACGTTACTCCACGTTGGGCTCTGTGAATTACAAGATCTTGTTGGACTTGAAAACAACGACGTCTGGTCCATTCAAGTTCCATCTCTAAATCGCCATGGTTTTCTACTGTCCGGGCCCGTATTTCAGCTACCTGACCTTTTCCTTGTCCTTTTCCTTCTCCTTCGTGCTCGCTTATTCTCGATTTTCCTCGGATGGTCGACCTGTCATTTGCACTTAGCTGGGTTCAACGCGTGGAAACAGATGGACAAGAATAAATAAACGAAACGAGGATTGTGCTGATGCGATGTTGAAAACGTGAGGGAATGACAGACTTCTCCACAACTTGGTTGTTACCAACGACGTTTGACCATGAGCCCTTACCTACATCGTCGGTTCCAACCAACTATAGAATAAGAGTGGTGGAGAAGGAAGTTTAAAGCTTTGGTATGATTCCTTTCAACAGCCTCGCTACATGCCACAACCTCCAAAGCTGCTTTGCCTCTTAATTTTTACTCAATAATCTACATTTGATCTGGTTTGGACGAAAAAGACGCTGTATAATCCAGCACGGTTACCTCTCTAGGCGTGATCATAAGGGTCTCACGAGCCCGTTACCGTAAATTCCGTTTGAACGCGAATTCAATTACATTTACACATTTGTTATGACCATTGTAAATGTCGATTGCTGCCGAGCACATCTATTACGACGCAGTTCTCAAAGGGTTGTCTCTGATTGAACTTCTCATGTGATGAGATTATAAGAAAAGCTTTCAGATATTAAGAAAGTGCTTTACACTTTTGGTCCACCTACCGTCCGATCGGAAGCCCAAAACGTTTGCGTTCCCATCATTAAAATACGATCTTTGATGCATATTGATGATAAAATAATGAAAGATACCTTTTCCACATATTATGAGGCGGGAAGTAAGTAGGCCTACGGAATATTATTCAGGTAAGTATCACTACCGACTGTGTTGAGCCGGGCCCCATCGTGACTGAGATGTTCTTCGCTGGGAAGACCGAGGAGATGATCAATAAGGTGATCCAGGAGTGCCCGCATAGCCGGCTTGGCAAGACCAAGGATGTCGCCCTCTTGTCGGGTTTTTGGCCACTGATGCCGCCGAATGGGTCAATCGGCAGGTGATTAGGGATAATGGTGGATATGTGTAGGTTGATGGATTCAGGCTCAGAATTAAGTCATACTTGTCTAGGAAGATTGCCTGAAATGTGTGACCTTTGCCTCTGGAATTCTCTGTTTCTTTCTCTTTGTCCGATTGAGATGTTGATCCATCAGTTCTTCGACACGGTCTGAGATATGGCCAAAACATAAGCTCCGATACTCTGGAAACTGCGGAATCGATTAAAGCTGGTTTATCGGTAACTAGGATCAATATCTCTAGCGCAGATAGAGTTGAGGGTAACGATATTCTGCGCAGGTGAATCCTTTTAACTGTAGAGCTTCAGCAATGAAGATTCTGCAGAAGATGGACAGTAACTGTAACTGATGAGCACTACTTGCAAGGTCTTTAATCTAATGTTAATATGATAAATTCCATCAATCATCGCATACGAAGTAGAATTAGATAAGGCTCAAATCGGTGGCAAAGTACAATGCTTGGCCTCGAAATGATATGCGTCATGATCATTCTTGTCCGCGAAACGATCAAGGGTTGCAGATCATATGACACCTTTTCCTTGCTCCTTTGCTCAAGATTACTAAAGTTCTCACAAGGTTGTCTAGGATTGAACTTCTGATGTGATGAGATTATAAGAACAGCTTTGAGAAATTAAGACAAAGCATTACACAGTTGGTCCATGTATGTCCGATCGGAAACTATTTTTTGTCGCCCAAGAAAGTCTGCATTCCCATTGTTAAAATGAGATCTAGCTCTAATACATGTTGATGATAAAACGATGAAAGAGTACTTTTCCCCCATATTATATGAGGGGTGGCCGTAAGTAGGTGTGCGGGACATTATTGATCAGTCAGGTAAGCATTCGATTGTGGTAAGAGGTGTGTGAATAGGGATTCTCTCTAGATAAGATTTTGAATCTTCCTGCCTTACAATAGACACATTGAATCCACGGGAGAGCTTTTCGTAGGGCAAGTCCAGAACTGTGGTATGGAAAATCGAATAGATGGATTCTCTCCCTCATGTATTTCCTTAGTCAGAGTCATTGTTTGACCGATCATATTTGCATGACCGCATTTGTTTGTATGATGAGTGCTCCTCACTCGCCTCTCTTTTCCTAAATTTTTTGTTTTTTGGGGGAGGAATGTTCACTTTACACTAAAGCACAAAAGGCTGAGTACCTCTAAAGCCCTATCTAAGGAAACCAGAAGTCTTCATTTCATTGCTCTTTGTATTCTGCAATTGATCATGTTCTTTCATATTTCTAACTTGACTTATATATATATTGATAATTTATATAGTTTTTCGAATCAAATAAAAGTTTATGTCTTTCTCATTTGCTGCCACTCAACAAAAGTCTGTCTTAGCTATGCACATCCCTAGAAATTTTTTCTTTATTTCAGCTAAACAATGTTATCATCTGGTATGAGAGCCTAGGTTGTGAAAATATGGTAGTGATACAGTCTTCTTGGTCTATGGTTGCTGATATGATTAATAAATTAATGCATACGATTGTCCAAGTATCGCAAAATTTTTTCCTCGAAATGTAGATGTTTGGAGGATGAGAATGCAGTTTCTTCTCGAAGAACATGATCGCTTCTATTTTTTGTCATTCTTGAGAAAGAGAAGCTCACGGGTATGGTGCTCATGGCAGTTAAGGATAATGTACTAGTTTTAGTAGAAGACTACCGAGAATGTATGAGCTGATGACAATGGTAAACATGAAGTTTCTTCGGCAACAGTTCCTCCCAAGCGAGATGCAAGAGAGGATGAGTCCGTCTCAGCAGTTAGACAAGATGGAGAAAACGATCAAAGATCTCGACGGACCGTATGGGTTTTCTAAGGGACTCTGTTGGTGTCCGAGTGCTTCTTGACCGCATTACCGATTGATTGAACTAGAGCCTTGATTAATCTTAGATTTTCCGTAAATCGGAAGGATAGTAAATTGAATTCTACCGTGAATTTTATAAGGTGATCAATCCTGTAAATTCCGGGTCAAATTGTTGCCTATGAACCAGATGTAGGAAAACCAATCTCTCACAAGTGGGATGTGAGCAGTGTCAAATATTTAAGAAATTGATGAAAAACATCTAAGTTAGACAGTAAGGGTCTGCATAGCAACGTTTCTGTTCTCAGAAATAATTTCTGATCAGAAATAGTTTTTTCTTTTTCTTTTTCTTGGAACAGTTTCTAAGTAAAAAAATAGCGTTTAAGAATCGCACAAAATTTCTATTCCTGGAATAGAAAAAAGAATAGAAACGCGTTTAGGGGCGAATGATCTATTTCTATTCTATGAACTAGTTTCTCCCTTTCGGGCTGTCGGCGGAGGATGGCGGGTGGCGGTGGGGGGCGGAGGACGGTGGTCGGCGGTGGGAGGCGGCCGGCCGGCGGCGGCGGAGGATGGCGGCCGGCCGCAGGAGGCGGTCGGTGCTGAGCGGCGGCCAACGGCCGCCTTCAAGTGGTGGAGCACGGCGGTCGGCGACGAGCACGGCAGCCGGCGGGCGATCATGGTGGGCGTCGGGTGGCGGTGATCGCGGCGGGGCGGTATGGCGGAGAGAGGTAGGCGGAAGTGGGCATTTGGGCGGAGGGTGGCCAGCGTCGGTTGGTGGAGCACGGTGGCCGGCAGCGAAGGACGGCGGCCGGTGGTGGGTGACCGCCGGCGTCAGGTGGCCAGGGGCGGTGGAGCACGACGGCTGGCGGCGGAGGATGGCGGTCGGTGCCGGCAGGTGTCGGGCGGTGGAGGACAGTGGTCGACGGCAAGAGGCAGCCGGCGGGCGGGAGGCGGCCGGTAGGTGGCGGCGAAGGACGGCGAGAGGTGGCGGTGGGCGGGTTGCGGCCGGCGGATTGTTTCTTGTTTTTGGAGGGTTCTAGAAAAAATTGTTTCTTGTTTTTGTTCTAGAAACAAAGAAGTAGATTTTTTTTACTTCTTGTTTCTGTTCCAAATATATTCTAGATTCACTTTTTGTTCAGAAACAGAAAAGTAGATTTTTTTTACTAAATAGATTTCTGTTCTTTTTCTGTTCCGGAACAAAAGAATAGAAAAACAAAGAAATAGAAACGTTACTAAACAGGCCCTAAGGGCACGCATGGTAACATTTTTGTTCCATAAATCAATTTCTGGCAAGAAATATATTTTTATATTTCTATTCCGTGGACGAGTTTCTAAGCAAAAATGCGTGTTTGATAACGACACAAAATTTCTGTTTCCGAAATAAAAATTCATTTGATAACAATACAAAATTTTTCCCTTCCGGGCGGTCGGCGGAGGATGGCGGGTGGCGGTGGGGGGCGGAGGACGGTGGCCGGCGATGGGAGGCAGCCGGCTGGTAGCGGCAGATGACGGCGGCGGTGAAGAACGGCGGGAGGTGGTGGTGGGCGAGTTGTGGCCGACGTTGGGTGGTGGCAAACGACGGAGGATGGCGGTGGGAGGAGGCGGTCGGCGAAGGACGCCGGTGGTAGGCAGTCGATGGCAGAAGGCGGTCGGCGAAGGACGCCGGTGGTAGGCGGTCGATGGCAGAAGGCGGCCGGCGGTGACGGTCGACGGCAATAGCGAGTGGCAAGGGGGTGGTCGGCTAGTAGCGAGGGCGAGCGATAATAAGAGTTTTTATTTCTCATTTCTGTTCCAGAAATAAAAAAGTAAATTTTTTTTACTTCTGATTTCTGTTCCAAACCTATTTCTAGAATAGAAATTTATTTCAGAAATAGAAAAACGAAATTGCGTTACCAAACGGATTTCTGTTCCAAACCTGTTCTTGATAATAGAAAAATAAAAAAAATAAGAGAAACAAAAATGATTTCATGCGCGCCCTAAACGCACGTTCACCTCATCAATTCGGATAATAAGCGGATCATTATCACGAAAGAATTCCCGGGTAATGCTCGACATGCTAAACTTACTTCAGCGCTTACTTCGCATCAGCTCGATTTCTGCTTCCCGACGGGTCTCGAATCTCGTCAGCATATATAACGATCATGCTTCACGTCAATTTCGATGCCGTTAATCTTGTACCATCTTGCAAGCCGAGCCATTGAATTGCGAGGGAAGAAGGTTTTTGACTTTCTACCGGTGAAAAGAACACCAAGGCGCGTGCGACGGTGTCTTAGCCGCACGTTCCTCTTTTCGCATTTTCGGGGTTCGTGCTTTTGAACGGGTCGGGCCGTATGTTACCGACACCGAGCAATGTCCGACGATGGGGTTGGTTGGTTGGGGGGTCGTTGTCGTGCTTCGTGGGGAAGGGAGGAAAGATTCTTGTTTCCTAAGGGACCCGCCATGAGATGAAAGCTCCCTCCGACTTTCCCTCCCACTTGCGGCTTCCCTATAAAGAGACAAACGTCCAATCGCCCAGCTTCTCACACCAAATTCTCGTTCTTCCCTTTTGGGCTAGCTCGTGTGCATGCAAAGGGGACAGCTTTACTACTAAATCAGTCATCCTTCCGCTTCCCCGGCATCTTTTCCAGCTTCTTCTCTCTCTCTCTCTCCGGAACTCCATGGCCGCCACGAACAACGCTGCTGCAGCTGCCGCCGCCACCGAGACGCTGCCTCTGAAAGACCGGGTGGCCATTGTAACCGGCTCCTCCCGTGGGATCGGCCGCGACATCGCCCTCCACTTCGCCTCCCTCGGCGCCAAGGTCGTGGTCAACTACACCTCCCCCGGCTCGTCCATGCAGGCCGGCAAGGTTGCGGCGGAGATCAACTCCTCGAACCCCGGCTCGGCCATCTCCGTCCGTGCCGACATCTCGGACCCGGACCAGGTGAAGTCCCTCTTCGACGCGTCCGAGGAGGCCTTCAAGTTGCCGATCTACATCCTGGTGAACTCCGCCGGCGTCCTCAACCCCAAGTACCCCACCATCGCCAATACCTCCGTCGACGACTTCGATAAGACCTTCAGGTGACGGCTCTTGAGAAAAACGGGGTTCGCGTGGGATCGATTCTTGCTTGTCATTGGGAAGCTACTCAATGATTTGATGGAATAGAACAATCACATCAACCAAGTCATTGAATTATGTTCTCTTCTCACAATAATCAGAATAACATTTAGAGCTGATGATTGTTTTTAATGTCTTTCGCAGTGTCAATGTAAGAGGGGCATTCTTGTGCTGCAGAGAGGCCACGAACCGGCTAAAGCGGGGTGGCGGAGGCAGGATCATAATGCTGACCTCGTCGTCGGTGGGCTCGCTGAGGCCGAAGTTGTCGGCATACACCGCCTCGAAGGCGGCTGTGGAGGTGATGGTCAAGATCCTGGCCAAGGAGCTCAGGGGCACCCGCATCACTGCCAACTGTGTCGCGCCGGGCCCCATCGCGACCGAGATGTTCTACGCTGGGAAGACCGAGGAGATGATTAATAGGTCGATCGACCAGTGCCCGCAAGAGCGGCTCGGCGAGACCGAGGATGTCACCCCTCTTGTCGGGTTCTTGGCCACCGATGCGGCGGAATGGGTTAATGGACAGGTGATTAGAGTCAATGGTGGATATGTGTAGGTCGATTGATGCAAGCTCAGGACTGTGTCTTTCTCGTATGGAAAGATGGCCTGAAATTTGTGACCTTTACTTTTGGTATTCTCTGTGTTTTTCTTTCTGTCTAATTGAAACGATGATCCATTTGTTCTTCAAAATGGTCTGCGACATTGCCGAATCATAAGCGCCAATACTCGCAGGTGAATCCATAGAGTTTTTTTAGTAGAAAGAAAATTATATTCATTGCCTAAAAAGATACATTAGAAGTACATAAACTTTCGTGGCAAAGTAAATCGAAGCCGAGCAAAGTCCATAATACTACAAAACAAAGCCAAATAAAAAAACCCAGGAGGATCAACAGAACACTGCCAGGGTTAAGCACACATTTGTTCCTAAGAACTGATTTGTTAAGCAAAATAATCGGTGGCCGATCATTGGATCTCGTTTCATTGTCGGTGATGAGCATACGCTGGAAATTTCTTCTCCAATTATTACGGTGTTGCCATTTGGTGATGCGCGCCTAGGTTTGGCATCCTTTACATTATTGCCGTGCGGAGATAATCAAAATATGTTGAATAAACACAAAGCTAACTTTTGGAAGAGTAAATCTTCGTATTTCAGTTAGATGCCAAAGTTCCTACGATCACCATTGAAACTAGAGGCAGAGTACCTGTACACGGGTAGAGCATGAGGTATCGAATCCCCGAAAACATTATTAAACTCGCAGATCTAAATTGGGAGATAATAGCTCATAAATCTAGAACTAGGGGTGTTAGAATCGAACCAAAATCGGAATTGAATTGAACCGAAATTTCAAGCATTTCCGATTTAGTTTTGGTTTCGGTTCGGATAATGAAAAATAACCTTTTTCTTTATTCCGGTTTAGATAGTACTGGTTCGGTTTGGTTAACCGATCAAAATTGAAAATTGTTCATCTTCTTAATATGATAATTTAGACAATCTGTCTCCCTTTTCACTAAACCTCTTCTTAATATTACAAAGAAGAAAATCGAAAAATCGAACCGAGCTGAAACGAGTCGAATGGGTCTTCGGTTCGAGTTATGCTTGGTTCGGTTCAAAGCTAATACACACTCAAACGGTGCGGTTCAGTTCGAATTTTTTGAAAAGCGAAAGATTAGAAAAACCGAATTGAACCGAACCGTTGACACCCTTATCATGAGTATTCAAACTCTTATATTTAGAATTAAATCGGGAAAAAAGAGCTCCCGGGTCTAAATTGAGAGAGAAGAAAAAATAAGAAAATAACAAGAAAACTCAAACAAAGTCAACCAGGGAGGGAGGGGAAGGTGAGATAGCTCAAACCATCCTCGTGATCGAAGGCTGAAGAAGTCAATGGAGACAGAAGAGAGAGAGAGAGGGAGAGAAGAAGACTTTTTCGGCTGCTTACAATGGTTAAATGAAAGATTCCGGTTCCGCAGGAGATGGACACTAAATTGATAAGCAATACTGGCATGTTCTTTATATCTATTGTTTATCTGATAAACTCCATCAATAATGGCATACAGATTGGAATTAGGTAAGGCTTAAATTGCTGCCAAAGTACAATAATTGGCCTTGAAATGATGTGTGCGCCATGATCATTCCTGTCCAAAACATTGTCAATGGTCGAAGAACTTATAACACTTTCCCTAGCTCCCTTGCTCAAGGTGGTTAGTCTTTCATTACAAAGTTTCTGAATGGGTCTTTCTCGAATTGAACTTCCGATGTGACGAGTGATAATAAGATAATGGAAGATGTTCAAGGGAGAAAGTCGACTTGGTATTTGATTGCCTCAGCAGAAAGAGTTTCACACTAGGAAGTTCTGATCATATTCGAATATTCCCAAAACCCAGTCAAATCCACATTAAATAAAGGCGCGAGATTGGCAGACTTGACCGGTTTGATTTGACTAATGAGCCGTAATTTGTAAAAAAATAAACATATTAAAAGTTTTAAAACTTGTCGAATGTACAACTGAATACTAAAATTTTCAGAAAGTATAATTAAATTTTAAAACTTTTCATAAAAGTGCAATTATGTCTATAACTTTTAAAAAATGCAATCAACTTTCAAAATTTATCGAATTGATCCAATCAAGTCCTTCCGTTGATTTTACATTTTGAAATTGTTAGGACTTGATTGCATTTGTGTGACAAGTTTCAGCACTTGATTGTACTTTTTGAAAGTTTTAATATTCAATTGTACTTTTGTGATAAATTTTAAAACTTCTGGTAGAGTTATTTGTTTCATCTGAGTCACTTAGAACTTGTCAAAGAAGAATGCTTGGACTTTGAATTTGTGGTTCCAATTTGAAGACTTTACTGAAGACCCACACTGACTTAAGTTCTGAATGTGAAGCAAGAACTAGAAGTTATCCAGACTCTGAAACTACTTAGAACGAACATAACGGCTAGTGATCTGGCATGGATTTCACAGAAGGAAAGTTTTGATTGACTCAATCTTAAAACGCTATAATGCAAAATTGATTGGCAATCAAACATTAAGGCAAGTACATCTCACAACGGATAAAACTCTACTTATGGAAACCAAGATTCTGGTTGTATGGGCAACCAAATTTAACGGGATTTAGATTTTGTCAACCAATGGCTATTCAATCAATTTTATACAAATCTGTTCAAGTTGAAGATTGGAAGATAATCCTCTAAAAACTGTCTAACGGCTAGTTTGAAAGTGGAAGAGTATAAAAGAAGATTAACGAGGAGTAGGAGGTAGAGAACGAAGTCAAGAATCAACAAGTCCAAAGTCTGAGCATACTCTAATTTTACTACTTGTTTTTTCTGAGCCAAACACTGAGATCTTAATGGACATTTTGTAAGAGTGATTGTGTGAGATAGAGAGTTCTATCATTCACAGAGTGATATCATTAAGAACTTGTAATCCTTTTTGATCACATAGTGGAATCCAGCCAGTAGGTTGTCAGCATGGGAGAGTGGAAGTAGACTTGATTTAAGCCGAATCACTATAATTTCTTGTGTGCAGTTTCTCTATCCCTAAACTCTTATTTTATCTTTTATACTGCACACTAGCATATTGTCTATAAAGTATGCTCAGAATTTGAATGTCTTTCAGATTTTAATCTTGATCATTTGTTTCTGCTTTAAAAATTGATCAAAAGTTTTAGATTACCTATTCATCCCCCTCAATGTGATCCTTACCAGCTACGTCACTTTTAACCAGGATAGAAATACTGGGAATTGGTGGTTGCATTGGGATGATCCACCGATAAAGGTTGGGTACTGGCCAAAGGAGCTACTCCCATATTTGCGCGATGGCTCGCTCCATACGGCTTGGGGCGGAGTCGGCCTTGCCGGAAGCAATGGGGTTTGTCCCCCCATGGGAAATGGATGCAAGCCTGATGGCAATTCATGCACGCCACATACTTTCGACTCCTGCAACGGGTGACCGATATGGGTTCGCACTATCCTCCTTCACGGAAAACTTCAGAGTGGGTCGATAAATCCAATGTTTATGGTTTCAAGAACCATTACTTCCTTATATGCCCTTGGCCGGGCTACACGATCAGCTTCGGTGGTCCCGGAGGTTACTGCAGAGGCTAATGAACTTAAGAAGAAAAATGCTTATGTAATGAACGAAGTCAATAAGCAAAATCATATATGTGTTTGCCATACTATTTTCGAATCATTATTTCGTCTCTTTTTGACGCATAACTAAAATGGTTTTATCAAGGCAAAAGAAGGGGATATCATGGATCGCGTTGATGTTAATGAACAACTGGCACTTGATCATCCTCTATTGAAGAATCATATAGTTCAAGTAAGGGTTCGTCATCCTCTATTGAAGAATCATATAGTTCAAGTAAGGGTTCGTCAAATTTTTTTTATAAGTCGAGCTCAAGTACACTAGAACACGTCAGTCAATATATACTTATTTTTCTTAAATTGTTTAGCTTGATTCTTGATTATTTGAATTTTCCCTTTTGCAGGTGAAGCCAAACTAACATTTCAATAGGTTGGACAGATCTTCTTCAATTGAAAATCAGTAAAATTCATATTGCGAGAGCCTATTCATACAGTAGCCATCCCTCAAGCAACAAAAGAAAACTTGATATGAGCAAGATCTCTGCCTAAGATGCTGTTTGTAGCATCTGTGGAGTATGATGCTCTTGCTTCTAATCAAATAAGAAAGACACTAGAAATGCTAAAAGTTGTGTACGGCATTCACTTTGGTGCTAAAAGTTTTTTTTCAGATCACTTAAGTGCCAATTCCGATCTGGATCGTCGGAAAAATCATGATCACTTAAGTACAATGAGTGGCCTCGAAATGATGTGTGCGTCATGATCATTCCCGTCCAAAATATTGTCAATGGTCGAAGATCATATAACACTTTCCCTAGCTCCCTTGCTCAAGGTGTTAGTCTTTCGTTACAAAGTTTCTGAATGGGTCTTTCTCGAATTGAACTTCCGATGTGATGAGTGATAATAAGATAATGGAAGATGTTCAAGGGAGAAAGTTGACTTGGTATTTATTGCCTAAGCAGAAAGAGTTTCACACTAGGAAGTTCTGATCATATTCGAATATTTCCAAAAACCCAGTCAAATCCACATTAAATAAAGGCACGAGATTGGTAGACTTGATCAGGTTTGATTTGACAAACGAGACGTAATTTGTAAAAAAATAAATATATTAGAAATTTCAAAATTTATCAAAAATATAACTAAATATTAAAACTTTCAAAAAGTGTAATTAAGTTCTAAAACTTTTCATGAAGATATAATTGTATCTACAACTTTCAAAAAGTGCAATCAACTTTCAAAATTTATCAAATTGGTCCAATCAAGTCCTTCTGTTGATTGCACTTTTTGAAATTGTTAGGACTCGATTATAGTTGTGTGACAAGTTTCAGCACTTGATTGCACTTTTTGAAAATTTTAAGACTCAATTACATTTTCGTGATAAATTTTAAAACTTCCGATAGAGTTATCCTTTTCATCTGTGTCACTTAGAACGTGTCAAAGAAGAATGCTTGGACTTTGAATTTGTGGTTCCAATTTGAGGACTTTGAATTTCTGATTCCAATTTGTTCCTTCCTTATTTCTCTTAGCTCTCCTTTTTTAAATTCACTCTGCAATACTTCTTTCAAGTTCCATATGAGATCCAATATGGCCACCGCGGCGGCCACCACCACTGTCCCGCTCCGAGGTCGAGTGGCCATAGTCACTGGCTCGTCTCGTGGCATTGGCCGGGCCATTGCAGTTCATCTCGCGTTGCTCGGGGCAAAAGTCGTCGTCAACTACACCTCCAACTCGGCCCAAGCCGATCTAGTAGTGGCCGAGATAAATTCGTCATCTCCTAATGCTGCGATTTCTGTCAGAGCCGATGTTTCTGATCCTGAGAGTGTCAAATCCCTGTTTGATGCGGCCGAAAGTGCATTCGACTCGCCGGCGCACATCCTTGTCAACTCCGCTGGGGTCATGGATGCTAAGCATTTCTCCATAGCCAACACTCCCCTGGAAGAATTTGACAAGATCTTCAGGTATAATCAGAGCAAGAATTTGCACGATCAAATCCCCAGTTTCACTTTACCGTATGATCTGTGCTCATCTATGGCGAAGAAGATATTAACCAACTCACATGTCCGTAACATTCAGTGTCAACACCAGAGGCACGTTCCTCTGTTGCCGCGAGGCGGCGAATCGGCTGAAACGCGGTGGCAGCGGGCGCATCATACTGCTGTCATCATCCTTAGTCGCTGCCTTGAAGCCTAACTATGGAGCCTACACGGCCTCGAAAGCTGCGGTTGAGACGATGACTAGAATTCTAGCGAAGGAGCTCAAGGGGACGGGAATAACCGTGAATTGCATCGCGCCAGGGCCTATCGCAACCGATCTGTTCTTCGCAGGGAGGAGTGAGGAGTACGTCAAGGGCGTGGTCGAGGCGTGTCCCCTCGGCCGTCTAGGAAAGACCGACGACATCGCTCCGGTCGTCGGGTTTTTGGCGTCCGATGGCGGTGAGTGGGTCAATGGACAGGTGATTCCAGTGAATGGTGGCTTTGTCTGAGCTGTTACCGTAGCTCTAGAGATCAATGACCTACCTATCCACAGTCCAAAATAAAGTTGGTGTTGGAAGTTCAATAAAGAGGATCGGCTCAAATGTTACGATTTGATCTGATACTTGTGAGATTTAGCACTTCATCGAGGTTCATTCGAGTATTACAGTGAACCAATTTTGTAGAACCAACCCCACTTAAAATATCGTTTCTGCGGGCAAAGCGAATTAGCAGTATAAGCCGCGGGTAGTAACGAGTTTAGGGAAAGCAAAATTGCAAGTATGAACCGTCGTGCAGGACCCGACTTCCTTCTACAGCAGTCCCGCTAGACTACGTAATTATTGGACCCGTGAGTAGTTGTTGTCGTAGTTTGTACACGCAGCACAATATATCCTTTTTACAAAGAGTTCTTCGCACACTTTGTCTCTCATCTAGACTAATATTTTCACTCTAAGTACAACTACTCCTCTCTTGTGCTTACAAATGGATTTTGTGACTCGGGCTACCTCTTAGGAACAACGCTCAAATGCGCATTCCAAGCTTACCAAAGAGATGAATGCAAGCACATGCTTTATCAGTGCCGCATTGCTCTGTATTATAGTAGTATTCATTTTAGTTCGTCTTCACGAACGTAGTAGGAATGACAGGGATCTATCCTGAGAATCAACGTATATGTTTCTATACATGTGCTCACCAATATAAAATATATCCTGAGAATCGACGTATATGTTTCTATACATGTGCTCACCAATATAAAATACAACCATAACTATTTAAACGCATTGGCAAGAATGAAGCTTAATAAGACAACCTGATTGAGTCTAGAGTAGGAATCAACTCCTCCATTTTTAGGGGAAAATAATCCAAAAAGTCCTAAATTTATTATAGATTTGCCAATTCAGTCATAAATCTTTCAATTTTGTCAATTCAGTCATAAATATTTTGCATTTATGCCAATTTAATCAATTTAGCCAATTTTGGTCAGCAGCCCTGGTTATCCGACCAACGCTGACGTGACAATTTTTTAATATTTTTCGATTTTTTTATATATTTTTTTTCATTTTTTCTTTTCTTTCTCTATTTTGTTCTGCCCTTCTTCCTTCTGGTCGATGAGGTTGACCTTGCCGGCCATTGGCGAGGGTGAGCCTTGTTAGCCCCTAGTTGGGCAGGGTCGAGCCAAGGCAAGGCTGACCTCGTTGTCACTGGGCGAGGGAGAACCTAGCGACGGCGAGGTCAGTCTCTTCTTGCCTGGGCGAGGCTCGCCCTTGCTAGTGGCTAGTGGGGGTGAGCTTTGCTAGAGGTCGGTGAGGTCGAGTCTCTGGCCAGTCGTCGGAAGAAGGATAGAAAAAAGAGAAAAAGAAATAAAAGAAAAAAAGGAAAAATTCGAAAAAAAAAAAAAATTAAAAAAATTACCACGTCAGTGTTGACTATCCAAAATTGCCCGGATGGATTGAATTAGTACAAATGTAAAATGTTTATGACTGGATTGGCAAAATTGAAAGGTTTAGGACTGAATTGGCAAAAATGTAATAAGTTTAAGATTTTTTAAACAATTTCCCCTTTTTTTCGAGTAATGGAAGGACAACATGTCTATTATAACTAGGCATCAACCCGTTCGTTGCACGGAAACAATGGAATTTACGGCGATTGTAGTGTCCTTGTCCCGAGAACGCCGTTCATATGTTTGATTTCTCATGAAACATCTATACATCTAAACTATTGAGCAAGTCTTTTTTTGTTTTGTTTTGTTTTGTCTCCGTCTTCTTTTAACCGGGATAGAAAGACTAGGAATTGGTGGTTGCATTGCCATGATCCACCGATAAAGGTTGGGTATTGGCCAAAGGAACTACTTCCATATCCGCGCGATGGCTCGCTCCCTATGGCTTGGGGCGAAGTCGGCCTTGCCGGAAGCAATGGGGTTTGTCCCCCCATAGGAAGTGGATGCAAGTCTGATGGCAATTTCATGCACGCCACATACTTTTGACTCTTGCAATGGGTGAACGATATGGGTTCACACTATCCTCCTTCACAAGAAACTACAGAGTGGGTCGATAAATCCAATGTTTATGGTTTCGAGAACCATTACTTCCTTATAATACCGTGGCCAGGCTACACGGTCAGCTTCGGTGGCCCCGGAGGTTACTGCAGATGCTGATGAACTTGAGAAGAAAAAGGCTTATGTAATGAGCAAAGTCAATAAACAAAATCTATATATATGTGTTTGCCATACTATTTTCTAATCATTATTTTGTCTCTTTTCGATGCGTAACTAAAATGGTCTTATGAAGGCAAAGGAAGGGGATCTCATTAATTGCGCTGACATTAATGAACAACCGGCACTTGATCATCCTCTATTGAAGAATCATATAGTTCAGGTAAGGGTTCGTCAAAATTTTTTCATAAGTCGAGCACAAGTACACTAGAACATGTCAGTCAATATATACTTATTTTTCTTAAGTTGCTTAGCTTGATTCTTGTTTATTTGAATTTTCTCTTTTGCAGGTGGAGCCAAACTAACATTTGAATAGGCTCGACAAATCTTCTTCAAATGAAAATCTGTAAAATTCGGATTGCGAGAGCCTTGCTCTATTCATACAGTAGCCATCCCTCGAGTAACAAAATAAAACTTGATACGAGCAAGATCTTTGCCTAAGATGCTGTCCGTAACATCCGTGGAGCACGATGCTCTTGCTTCTAATCAAACAAGAAGGACATTACAAGTGTCAAAAGTTGTGTACGGCGCTGACTTTAGTGCTAAAATTTTTTTTCGAATTACTCAAGCATTTTAGTGCCAACTCCAATTCGGATCGCTGAAAAAATCATGATCACTTAAGTACAATAAGTGGCCTCAAAATGATGTGTGCGTCATGGCCATTCCTGTCCAAAATATTGTCAATGGTCGAAGATCATATAACACTTTCCCTAGCTCCCTTCCTCAAGCTGTGAGTCTTTCGTTACAAAGTTTCTGAATGGGTCTTTCTCGAATTGAACTTCCGATGTGATGAGTGATATTAAGATAACAGAAGAGCACCTTTTCCAAACATCACATGACTATGAGCAAATCATGTTCAAGGGAGAAAGTCGACTTGGTAGTGATTGCCTAAGCAGAAAGAGTTTCACACTAGGAAGTTCCGATCATATTCGAATATTCCCAAAACCCAGTCAAATCCACATTAAATAAAGGCACGAGATCGGTAGACTTTTTTTTTTTTGGTCGGTGATCGGTAGACTTGACCAGGTCCGATTTGACTAACGAAGCATAATTTGTAAAAAAAAGAAGAAGATAAATATATTGAAAGTTTTAAAAGTGCGATCATGTTTTAAATTTTTTCTCGAAAGTGCAGTTGGGTCTAGAATTTTTGAAAAATATAATTAATTCTTAAAATTTATTAAATTAATTCAATCAAGTCCTTCCGTTGATTTTACATTTTGAAATTTTTAGGATTTGATTATACTTTCTTGATAAATTTTAACATTTGATTGTACTTTTTGAAAATTTTAAGGTTGAATTGCACTTTTATAATAAGTTCCAAAACTTATGGAGGACTTGTTCCTTCCATCTACGTCACTTAGTATGTGTCAAAGAAGAATGCTTGGGACTTCGAATTTCTGATTCCAATTTGTTCTTTCCTCTTTTCTCTTAGCTCTCCCGTTTACATTCACTCTGCAATGCTTCTTTCAAGTTTTGTATGAGATCCAATGTGGCCGCCGCCGCCGCCACCACCACAGTCCCACTCCGAGGTTGAGTGGCCATAGTCACCGGCTCGTCCCGTGGCATCAGCTAGGCCATTGCAGTTCAGCTCGCGTTGCTCGGTGCAAAAGTCGTTGTCAACTACACCTCCAACTCGGCCCAAGCCGATCTAGTAGTCGTGGAGACAAATTCTTCATCTCCTAATACTGCGATTTCTGTCGGAGCCGATGTTTCCAATCCTGAGAGTGTCAAATCTCTGTTTGATGCGGCCGGAAGCGCACTCGACTCGCCGGCGCACATTCTCCTCAATTCCGCTGGGGTCGTGAATGCTAAGCATTTCTCCATAGCCAACACTCCGGTGGAAGAATTTGACAAGATCTTCAGGTATAATCAGAGCAAGAATTTGCACGGTCAATTCCCTGTTTCACTTTTCTGTATGATCTGTGCTGATCTATAGTAGAGAAGATATTAACCAACTCACACGTCCGTAACATTCAGTAGCGCTTGAGTAACGCTTAATTGAGTAACGCTTTCATTTAACGTGGTTTCTATTTTTTTTCTTGGCCACAAATTTTGGCATCCTTCTAAATTAGCCCCCGAACTTTTGAAAAGTTAGAGATTACCTCCCCGAAGGATTTTGTTGCGGACGTTAGCTTTCTATCTACATAACCTTAAGCGTTATCTGAAAGTGGTAAATAACTTCAATTTACTTGGTTAATAAAGTTAAGAAAATAGAGAGGTGCATGGTCAATGAAATTAAGAAAATTTAGCTAAGGTTATTTTATGTGCTGCTGTGCAAACGCAAAAACTAGTTACTGTAGTAAAAAAAAAATTTCGGGAGGTAATCTGAACTTTCCAAAGTTTAGGGCCATTATCCAATTGTTTCAAAGTTGAGGGGGGATAATCTAGAACTTTTTAAAGTTGGAGAGCAATCGTACAATGGCGCCAAAGTTTACGGGGGGTTTTGAGCAATTAACCCAAATTATTCAAATATTGATTGTGGTTTGGATTTATTTATTTTCCATTTTGTTTAATTTCGCACCATTGAACAATAGCCCCAAACTTTGAAAAGTTACATATTACTGTTGCACGGTAATCCTTGAATTTCGAAAATTACACATTGCCCCCGCAAATTTCGCACCATTTGAACAATAGCCCCTGAACTTTGAAAAGTTACATATACCATCTCGAACGTTAATTTTTGTTATAGTCACTAATTTTACTCTCCTACACGGCCGTTAAATGTGACCTAATAATCGACTAACTCATTTTCCTTGGCCAAAATAACCTTTACTAAATTCGTTCAATTTCTTCAGCCATGCATTCTCTCTAATTTCTTAACTCCATTAACCATGTAATATAGGTTACCACGACAAAAAAAACCGAACAGGTTATGACGCTTGTAGTGTCCTTATCAAGAGAATGCCGTTTATATGTCTGATTTCTCATGAAACATGTATACACCTAAACTATTGAGCAAGTGTTTTTTTTTTTCCGTCTCCGTTTTCTTTTAACCAGGATAGGAAGACTG